TTTTCGTGATTACCCTGAGTTCCCCTCCCAAGGACAGCGATCTTGTCTGTCAAAACTGCTCAGTGATCTGTATGTCGTTTGCTTGCTTGCATGCGGCCAAAAAAAAAAAAAAAAAAATCTGGCCTTGGTCTGGTTGATTTTTTTTTTCCCCCGTCTCGGACTCACCTCGTACTGTTCGTTTGCTTTTTTTGTATTTTTTTGTTTGGTCGGACTGAAACAGCCAGCCGGACGGAGGTTGGAGCAGGTGCCATTGCTGTTACGGGCGCCTCAACTGTCACGCTTCTTGGAGGTCGTTTCATTGACAGCGTCACGACCTACCAGTTCTCGGCCGGAGGCGCCATTGTCCTTGCCGGCAACGCTCGGCTCTTCGCGACCGGGACGTACTTTGCCAACAGTTTTGCCTACTCTGGCGCTGTCGTCTCGATGCAGGAAAGTGCGCAGGCGTTCGTGACGGATTGCGTCTTTGCCGACAACAAGGCCCGATTCTCAGGCGGTGTCTTTGATCTTCTGGACTCGACCGAACTGACCTGGGTCGGTGGCTCGGTCACGAACAGCTCTGCAGAAAGCGGCGGTGCTCTGCTCACGAGCGGGACGGTTCGTGTCGTTGTCGACAATGTCACCTTCCGCCGTGGCTACGCGGCCGTCTGGGGCGGTTTTGCGCTGACCGCGTCCACGCTGCCCACTGAGGCCTCGCTGCAAGTCTACAACTCGCGTTTCTTGGAGAGCTCAACCGACTGGGGAGCAGCCGTGCTCAGCGCCATTGCGTCCGAAGGTGGCTCGTTCGACGTTCCCAGCGCGTTGTTTGTCAACTGCACGTTTGCCGACAACACTGGCGTCATTGGTAGCACCTTCAACATTGACGAGGGTGCAGTCATCACGGTCATCAACTCGACCTTTACGAGCAACCGAGCGGAATTTGGCGCTGTGGCCTACGTGTATGCCACAGGCCAGATGCGCTTTGAGGGGTCGACCTTCCACAACAACTCGGCTAGCTCTGGCGGATGCTTCTACGTGACCAATACGGGCCATCTTGAGATCGAGGACGCCACTTTTGAAGACAATTTTGCCACCGAAAACAGCGCCGGCGTTTTGGCGCTGCTTCGCTCGACTGTGCACATGACCAACGTCGTTGCCGTGGGCAACGAAGCAACCGAATTTGCGGGCTTTATGACTGCCACCCAGGACTCGACCGTCGTGCTCGAGAATGTCGTTTTGGCGAACAACTCTGCTTCGGACTATGGCGGTGCCATCGCCGCCAAGGGCACTTCGAGCTTGACGTGCCAGGGGTGCACCATTTCAGGTAACTGCGCGCGCTCCAACGGCGGTGGTCTGCACATCTCTGGCAAGGCGATCGTTCATCTGGAGGACGCCGTGGTTTCGGGCAACTCTGCTGGTCTCAACGGAGGCGGCGTTTTCGTCCAAGGCTCTGGCACGTTGACGTGGGTGGCCAACGCCACCGACGACGGCAGCTCTGTTGTCCATTCCTCAAACCTCCCGGCCACTTCCAGCTCTGCTCTGCAAGACCTGCTTGCTGCTGAAGCGGCCTTCCCCGGCTCGAGCAATGTCGATGCTTGGGCAGCATCCCAACTCGCTGTTTCGGCCTGCGCTGACAACCTTGCCACGATTGATGGCGGTTGCGTTGCCATGTTTGATTCTGCAGAGTTCTCTGCGCTGAATGTTGTCTTCAAGGGCAACCGAGCGTTGGCATCCGGTGGCCACATTAGCGCCGACCACGGCTCCAAGCTGGTGCTGAGCGGCTCGGTTTTGGTCGACGGACAGTCCACTGGTGCCGGCGGTGCCATCTCGGTCGAGTCCAGTGGTGTCCGAACCTCGGCCTGCGTCTCGCCTTCGTCAAACAACGTGGGCGAAGCGTCCACCATCATTGTGAACTCGTACATTCTCAACAATACTGCACAAACCTCTGGTGCCGGTCTGGCGGTCGTTGGTGGCCACCACGCGCTGTACAATGTCCGCGTTTCGGGCAACGTGGCGGCCGAAAGTGGCGGCGGCTTGCACCTGTCGCCCATGTTGTCTCGCCCCCAAAGCGAGCTGCAGGTGAATGCCACTCTCGTCGATGTGGAGTCCAACACTGCGTCTCAGGCAGGAGGTGGCGTTTCCGCGACCTTTTCGTCGCTGCCAACCTCGTGGGTCCAGTTTGTCGATTCCTCCATTTCGTCCAATACGGCGCTGATGGGTGGCGGCTTGTACTTGCCCAATTTCAACGTTTTGCCCATCTTGCTGAACACTGTCGTGCAGAACAACCAAGCAGCCCAGTACGGCGCGCAGACGGCCTCTCCGGGTGTCCAGCTTGCGTTTGATGCATCGCAACCCGCGCCCGGCACCAACGGCTACACTGGTGGCGAAATTTCCGTGACCATCCACCTGTTGGATGGCTCTGGCGCTATTGCCGCCGTGCACAGCGTCCAAATCGAGGTCTTGGTGTTGAACGCCACTGATGACGTGGTCTTTGCTGGCTCTCAAATCGATCAACGACGCCTTGACGGCACCTTCACGTCCTACCCAACCCGAATCCTCGGGGAGGGCTACAAGCTTCTGCACTCTGGCGTTGCGCAACTGACTTTTACTCTGTACGCCACCACGCCTGGCACCTACAAGATCCGCTATGCCGCGACTGGCGGTGATGCCTCGATTTCGCCTGCCGAGTTTGCCTACGTTGTGCAGCCTTGCACATCGAGCAATCAGGCGGTCGTCTTGCAAGACGGCAATCCTGTCTGCGCTTCCGGTAAGAATGTTGATGTTTTTTGGTTTTTTGCTTTGATTGCACGACGGTTTGTGAGATGTGGACGACGATAGCCTCATCATACCACACTTCTCTGCTCCCTTGGCTGCTTTGACAGTGTTTGATCAAAACAAGAGTCTTCGATTCGGCTTTATGAGCGTCGCCATTATTGGCGAAGCTTGCGCAATTCTCCTCGTCATCTTTGTCATCCGAAAGCGCGAGGAGCCCATCGTCAAGGCCGCCAGCCCCAAGTTCTGCTTGATTGTCATTTTCGGTTGCATGCTCGAGTTTGCTCTCATTCCCACGCTGGTTCCCGACCTCACGCCTGCTCTGTGTGTCACGCACATTTGGATTGGCCATCTCGGTTTTGCCGTTGCGTTCGGCGCGCTCTTTGCCAAAACCCATCGCATTGCCGCCATCTTCAACAACAAGAACCTTGCTCGCAAGCTCCGCGGCACCTCCGATTCGTTCCTCATGTCTCGAATTGCCATTGTCGTGTCTGCCGTTAGTCTCTACCTGTTGGTGTGGTCCGTGGTGGACAAGTAAGTGCCGCAAACCTCAATCTGTTGTGTGATTTTTTTTTTTTTTTTTTTTGGTTGTTGAAGCTCACATTCTGTTTGTGCAACCTCTCTTGTTGTGCTCGCGACAACAACAGGCCAGACGTCGTCGGTACGACAGAAGTCGGGGAGACAATCAGTGTCTACTACATGTGCAAGTCCTCCAACGACAGCTGGTCGGTGGGCTTGTACGCGCTCGAGGCCGTTGGTCTGCTCTACGGTTGCTGGCTCGCCTGGCAAGTGCGCAACGCACCCTCGCGTTTCCGCGAGTCCAAGTTCATTGTCATGGCCGTCTGGAACATTTTGGTGGTCTCCATCATCATTCTCCCGCTCAACTATGCGCTCAACACTGACAATCCAGACACGCAGTTCATGTTCACTGCTCTGGGTATCTTGCTGGCAACCTTCGGAACCTTGGGCTTGATCTTCATTCCCAAGATGTACGGCTTGGTCACACACATGGAGCCTGGCGTGTCGCTTACCACCGACAAGCCCACCAAGTCAACCTCAAACAAGGTTGTCGGCTACCAAGGCTCGTTTGTCAATGCCGACCCTCACGACTCCACTCATGAAGTTCAGCACATGGCCATGTCGTCCATCGAGGATACGACTCCGATCGAAGTGAGTGGGAGTGTCGAGTTGTGTTTGTGTCGGAGAGTTTTTTTGAAACAGGGGTTGGTGCTCACCAATTTTTTTTCGTTGTTTTGTTTCTGCTCAGTCCATGACCACGGAACAGCTCGAGCAGTATCATCTGACCAATACCCAACATATTACCTTCCTCAAAGAGCAGCTTGCGCGCGCCGAGGAGCTGCTGGCTGAGCGTGCACCCAAAAATCCTGAAGACGCAGTGTAAAAAAAAAAAAAAAAAAAAAAAAAAAAAATTGGGTATTGCTTGCTGGTTGGTCCCGCCAGCCGTAAAAATGCTCTACCCTCTCGTTTCTGTCTGTGTGTATATACTTGTTGGTTTTGTGTGACCACACGTTGTTTTTCCGCTTTGTGTTTCGCTTGTCGATCAGTTACAGTTTTGTAAAATGCAGCAAATTTTTTTTTTAAGCAAATTGAGTGCGTTGTTGGTTTTTTCCTCCCCCCACACCTTAATGGACTTTGCTCCTTTCCATCGTTTTAAAACCGAATTACAATGGTCAAGATGATCTGGCCTGTTTCTGAGAATCGGGTTTCTGAGAATTGTGAGCATTTATCTCTTTTTTCTCGATTTTGCCGCCGTTCAAATGATTCGGCGTTCAAGCTCCGGTTGTCTTCCTTTCCATCCATCCTGCTTAATACTTCGTTTTGAGTCAGTCCATCTTTTCATTTTTCTGTGTTGTGTGCTTTGGTCGAGGATGGTTGCAAACTCGTCCTACACAGTTTCAGGTACTAAACTAACAATTGAAAATTTATTGAAAATCAATTCAAAAGTCATATGCTTTTTTTTTTCTTTTTTTTTTTTTTTTTGCTGCTGTTTGATCTTTGTCTGCTCTTTCTCTCCCCCCCTCGCGCCCCGCGCGCCTCCCTCGACCTTCAACGCCTGCCTTTCCTCTTTGCCGCTTTGCCTCGTGTCGCATACTTGCATCACCCTCGCTGGCTTTCCCTCCCGCACTCGTTCCCCTCTTTCCCTTTTATTTCGTGTTGTTTTCTGCCTTCGCCTTCGCCCCGCTCGCTGTTGTTGCTCCCGCTCGTTGGCTCACCCGCACGTGCATTCTTATGCTTGAAACAGTCACCCAGCCGTTCCTGCGCCAGGAGGAGTCGGTCAAGCAGCTGGTCAACTCGCTGCAGTACGTCGAGCAGGTCGCGCATGATGTCTTCAATCGGATTACCACCCGCGTCGCACAAAACCGCGAGCAGCTCGTCACGCTGAACAACCGCGTCAACGTCGCTCTGGTGAGTGTTGTTGAGGGCTGACTTTGTGCGGAGGTCGGGTGCTGAAGGATTTTTGGTTGGGCTGATGTCAAGCTCGCTCAACTCTTTCGCTCATGTCGTTCCATCCCCTTTCCTTCCCCTTGCAAATAGGCCAAGATTTCAAAGATTCGCGGCAGCACCAAGGCCACCACTGTGTTTTCTTCGTAAGCCAAGGCTGCGGCCGCTGCTGCTGCGCGGATTCGCTTTGCTCCACCAACAATCTCGTTTACTTGCTTGCTGACTTGTTTTGCCTGTAGAGCCAAGTACCCCGCCCCGGAGACGTTGGATGATTATCGTCCACTCTTTGGTGACGGCCAGACAGCGCCTGTGCCCAACCCACCAAAGCTGCGTCCCCACGAGATCCGCACCAAACATGTAAATTTGCTTGCTGTCGGATTCTCGGCGCAGTTTCGAAGTCTGTGTGTCATCTCTATCGACTCACCTTCAATGATACTCTGTTTGCGTTGGGGGAAATAGTCGCACATGGCCGATGCAGAATGGAAGGACCGTGTCAACTACTTTGCGATCGACATCAATGTTGCTCGCGAACCTGAAATCATCACCGATGAAGACGAAGGCGAGGTAGGCCATTTGTTATTCAGTTGTGTGAGCTGCATTCGCGTTTCACCGCGGTTTCTGACCATGATGATGCATTTCTCGCTGTAGGGCCTCGGTCGCCTCCCCAAGCATCTCCCATCCGTATCCTCGCTCTTGCTGTTCAACACGGCGGAAAACCCCTACAAAAAGTACGTGACGCTCGATCCGCTCAGTGGCGTGCAGCACAAGACGCGCACGCTGGACGAGGACGGCGGAATCAAGATCGACGCTGCGCCGCAGTCCATCCTGTCTGGCGACCAGATGCTTCGTGGCACGGCCGAAAACTACTTTTACTCGCCCGGCATGGGCGCCGTGCCCGAGATTCAGGTACCCGGCAACCTGCCCGATCTGCCTGGCGTCGCAGACGACATTGCTTGGGAGGCCGACCTCGGTCCATCCATCGCCCCGTCCATGCCCGGCTCCAACATGCCCGAGCTGCCAACCGTGGCTGGCGTTGCTGCCCCGCGCGCACAGCAGCCCGGCACTGTTTCGACCTCGGTGTCGTCGACCCCCTCGTCCGTTTCAGCCCCGCCACCGCCCTCGGCCGCGCCCCCGCCGCCTCCGCCACCGTCCGCTGCTCCTCCGCCGCCCCCACCGCCGCCGGCCGACATGGGCCCCCCTCCGCCGGCCCCAGCAAACGTTCCGCTGGAGGTGGCCGAGCCCGACTCTGGTCGCGGCGGCCTGCTCGACGCCATTCGCGCTGCGGGTGGTGCTGGCAAGGCCAAGCTGAAGAGCGTCAAGGACCGCAAGCTCGAAGCCAAGAAGGCCAAGAAGGAAGCTGCTGCCGCCGGCGACGGCGAGGAAGAGGACGGCGGCAACAGCGGTGGCGGCGGCGGCGGCGGCGACATGATGGGTGACCTCATTGCCACGCTCAACCGCCGTCGCAAGGGCATCTCTGGCAGCAGCAAGCCCAGCAACAACGAGCGTAGCGAAGAGTCTTCTGGCAACCCCATGGACAAGATTTCCGCCATGATTCCCGCGCCCAAGGCACGCGCCGAGTCGCAGGCCTCGGACCACGATGCCTGGGAATAAATACAAGAAAAGGAGGGGAAGGCATGTTGATGCTGTCAAACAGGTCAACACTGCTTGGCATTGTCTAGATTTTTTGAACCGTTGTTTTTGTTGTTTGGTTGTTGAAGGCTGGAAATTCTTGTCTACCAACTTTTTTTACGTTTATTCACGCACAAATAAAAAAATTCCAACACACACACATTACCTTGCCGTCAAACCCGCGAAGAAACCCGCTCGAGAAGAAACAGAAAAAAGAGAAAAGAAAAAAAGGAAGAGAAAATGTGTCAAGCACCAGCGTACCCTCACTGCCGTAGGATCGGAGCAGGCGGGTGATATAAGTGCGACCGCACAGAAAAGATTCTGCGCTGTTCCTATAAGGGGCGTAGTATCGGATAATCAAGCGATAGATATTTAGGGCGAATGTCCGGCAACGTTGGCTCAAGCTGACAAAGGCGGGCATTGACAATTGCGCTTGCCTTGACGGCAAGGGAGCACTCGTCGCCCTCCAGCGTCATCACCACTTAGGCATTCACGCACAGCAAAGTGCGGCGTCCTCCTGCCAACGCACAATAATACCCTCAAGCACAAACTCCATCAGCCAGCCCATGAATCAAGCTTCCCTTGACCTCTCATCACACCAGAAAATGCCAAACACAAGCGAGCACCCCTCCACCACCTCACACCCGAGAACGAACGACAACCAGGAAAAAAGGACATGCCTTCCTTCACTCGACCATGGAGACGATGACAGCAAATCCAAAGTCACGAAACAACGCACAAGGAAAACCGGCAGAGACAAACAAAAGCACAATACAAGAAAGGCGAGAAGCAAACAACAAGGCAGAAAACCAAAACAAGAAGAAATAAATAAAACGACAACTGCTTTTCTCAGACTGGTGGTTTTTGTGATTTCTCACCCTCACTTCCGTACTTCCCAATCCCTTGATATTTCCATTTTGCTGTGGCAAGTCAAGCAGGGCAACACGATGCGATCAACTTTTCTTCCTTTTTTTTTTTCTGATTCTTCTTTGTTTCGGTGCATTGATTCCCTGAACCGCGAGGTGTTGTCTTTGTTGTTGAGCGGCATTTCCATCACATCCAAATGAAAAAAGTCTCAGAGTGCAAAGACCGAGACTTTGACGACCGCGTGGTCGCAGATGGATTGGCAACGAGAACGATCGCTCACAGTTCGCTGAGCCACTCTCGGGGCTCCCAACTCCCCGAATCCATCATGGAACGAGGATCAAGAGCGCCGCGCATGTGGCAAGAACAGCAACTGAACTGCAACAGAGCCCCAAGCGGAAGAGAAACCGAAACCAGAAAAAGAAAAAAGAAAAAAGAAAAAAAAGGCCACGCGGTCGACCGCGTTGCATTGTGCAGTCGCGTCGTCGGGTGGATGGACGAATCGTGATTGCTGTTCCTTTGCTTTTCGTTGCTGTTTGGCAGTGCCAAGTCGCATGGAATGGGTTGACGATGTTCAGTTCAAGGGGGGAAGCAGGCGAGACAAAAACCAAAATCTTTCAAAAAAACAAAAGCGCGCTTTTTTTTTTTCTCTCAAGTTTCCGTTTTTCAGCCCTTTGAGCGTTGCATTGCTCCTTGCTTTCTGTTTCGCATCTCGTTCGCATCTCTGCCGTTTGAGTGTTCTCGCTTGGAGGCGCAGTTTTGCAAGCTGAAGAGCGCCGAGTCGCGTCGATGGCCGAGCGTTTTGGATGAAAGAAATGCAGCGGTCGCTTTAGAACCTTAAGAAAACGTCGCATCGTTGCTCGAGGGCTTCAAACGGCGGGAAAAGGGGGCGATCGCTTGCGCGTGATGGCAATGGCGCAATGAAAGACAGAAATCCGGGAAAACCAAATCCGAGAACGGCAGATGAGAATCCGATGCGTTGGTCGGGCGTTGTTGCACAGCGGGCAGAAACGAACGAAGCTCGTCCAGCATCCTGCGCTCGGTTCCTTCTCAGCCCCGTAAAAATAATGACCCGCCAGCAACCCCGAAAGGTTACTGACGAGTGAGCTGTGTGCCAAATGCGTCTCCATCGCCATGTAATTGTGGCTGAATGTAATTGTGATTTAGTGTTGATGTGTCTCGCCGTTTCATTTGACATTCAGAGATTGTGCGCAGCTTTTTGTCAAGACAAATGCTTTTTTTTTTTTTTCTTCTTCAGATCTCTCCTCGCTTACCATTGATGAGTTACCAACAGAACAAGAGAGCAAGGAAATAAGCAGAAAATCACAAAAGCCCAAATTCTAGCACAACATGAAGTGATGCTGTTACGAACTAGGCTCAGCCTAGATCTAGTTAGGCTTCCCCTCATTCTTCACTATATTCTTAGTACACGATACTTCCGCATTCTATTCTAGCATACTTTAGTAGTGATACGGGTTATGTTCCGGGTAAGGTCGTAACAGATGCCCTCAAAAGTCACGAAAAACCATTGTGATTGTGCGCCCCTATGTCTTCCACTCAATTCTCGTTCATTTTCAAAGCCTGAAGAGAGACGAAAACAACTTTATTGAAAGATCACTCAATCACAGTGTGTCGCGCTAGACTAATAAAGAACAAGAAGAAAAAACAAAACCTCACTCCCTTCGCCTGTCAAAAGCCAAAAAAGGAGTCCACTTTTTTGACAACTTTTTTTTTTTTTTTTCAATGAACGTCCATCAGTTCCAGCAACACTTTAAGCAGCTCAAGGCCAAGGACGAGACGAGCGGGCTCGACGGCTTCGACCTCGAGTTCATTGTGAGGCCATCCACATGCGCAGCCAAGCGCACTGCACCCCGCTGACTGCCGCTGTTCGAGCGAAGCAAAGAATCGAGCCCAAAAAAAAAAAAAAAAAAGTTTGAAGGGTGCTGGTAGATCGTGACTTGTTGGCGAGCCTCTAGCGGCACAAGGCTGGTGCACATCCACAAGCGAGAGAGCAAGGGGAGGGGAAACCAGCATTCAGGCGAAAGAGGCTGCATCCATCGGCGAGAGTTGAGAGTTGGGCGAAGGGCAGCTCGACAGAAGTGCCTCTCGAGCCCGTCTCGCCCTCTCTCGCTCTCCGCCGCTCTCGCAGGAGAGACAGTCACCAGCGCAGCTTATGCAACTGGCTGATGCTGGATGCAGCGGATGGCTGGCTGGCTGGCTGGCTGGCTGGGGTCGCTCATTGCCGTTTTGGACAATCTGCTCGTCATCGTCGGCGCTCTGCGTGCCCCCTGCACACCCTTTCCTTTTGCATGCTGGGCGACCTGATGTTGGTCGCTTGCTCGTTATCAGGGAGAGACGAGGCGAGGGTGCAGGAGAAGCTCTTGGCTGCGATTGCTGTGATTTTGGTTCTTTCTTCATCACCATCGCGCACAGCGACACGCCCCGTCGCCGATGACACTGGCTTTGGCCATTTGTGCAGGGAACACCGCGCGCCCAAGCAGCCCGCCCCAAGCGAGTCTCGACTGTGGTGCTTTCTGAGCGGCCTCGTTTTTTTGCATGGCAGATTCTATTTTTTTCCTTTGACTCGATGTCTGAGGCTGCTGCTGACGACGCTGCGACCCTGCATACGCAGTCGATGATGGGGCCGGGGGGGGGAGGTCGACCTCAACCAGAAGGGCGGTTGTCTTTGGATGATTATTGGCTTTGATTGATTTGGAACTTTGACTTTTGGTAGCAACTCCGAGATCAAGCCAAAGCGCACAAGGACAACAACACATTCCCAGCGCAGGTCGGCCAACTGCCTCAACATCGCGCCAAGAATCGATACCGTGATATTCTGCCATGTAACAGCCGATGCCTAGTCTGCATTTTTTTTTTGTTTGTTTGTTTGTTTGATTGGTTTCTCAAATCCTGCCTTGTCTTTGCCATGTACAGACGATGCTACGCGTGTGCGACTGCCTCCAATCCCGGGCGTGGAAGACTCGGATTATATCAACGGCAACTACATTACCGGCTATGATGGCTCACTCGCGTACATTGCCACGCAAGGCCCGGTAGACGCGACCGTCGCCGACTTTTGGCGAATGATTGTTACGCACAAAGTCCGCGTCATCATCATGCTTGCCAAGATCTTTGAAGATGGCAAGGTAAAAAAAAATTTGATTATTGTCGGCGTTTTTTTGCTCGTTTGCTGTTTTTGTTGGTGACGATCATTTGCGCCAACTTGTGCCCCTCCCGGTATGGTCAACAGAAAAAATGCGCAGAGTACTGGCCAGAAACAACCAAGACGGAGCAGTACGGAGACGTGCTGGTGTATAACGAGGCCGACGACGATGTCAGCGCCGATTACACATGTCGCAAGTTCCGCGTGACGACACCCGACCATCCGGAGCCTCGCAGCGTGTACCAGTATCACTACACTGCGTGGCCGGATCATGGCATCCCCTCCAGTGCAACCTCGTTGCTTCACATGATTGCGGGTGCCCGCAAGGTTAAGGGATCGCACTCTGGTCCGATTGCAGTGCATTGCAGGTACGCGTTCGGCGCTCCTTCTCTCCTGACGTCTTGCTTGATGGTGTCAGTCTTGTGGCACTTTGACTCACCTTGTGACGTGATGTGGGGCTTGCTCTTGTGCTAGCGCTGGATGCGGTCGAACAGGCACAGTTATTACAATCGACACCATTTGGGAGATCTTGCAGCACTACGGACTGGATAGCGCGACGTTTGATGTTTTGGGGATTGTTGCTCACTTGCGTACGCAGCGTTTGGCCATGGTGCAAACGAATGTGAGTGGGGAAACTCCGTTTTGTGTTTTTGGTTTTTTTTTTTTTTTGGTTTTTTTGGCGCGTGTACTCTCGATGTGGGGTTGGACCATTGTTGCTCACCTTCCTTTCGCTTCTTGTTGGATGGATTTGCTGCTTCAGGACCAGCTCATGTTCTGCTACCAATCTGCCGCCACGTTGATCAAGTCCATCCAAAGCGGCGAAATCCTGGTCGCGGCTGTTCCGCGCACCCTATCGCTCCGCTCGATTGACGGCCGCTCTGCGCACCTTGCTGCTGAGGCAGCACAGCCTGCAGCCCCGCCGCCGCAGGCCATCTATGCAGTCGTAGACAAGTCCAAGACATCTGCTGCCGTTGCTGCCGCTGCCGCTCCAACTGGCTTTGAAGCGTCTGCTCAACAGCAACAGCAACAGCAACAGCAGCAACCGAAACTGCCTCCTCGCAACGCGCTTTCGACCTCTCCGCCTGCCCAACAGCCAGTTGCGCCACCCACTCATGTCGCACCGGCGCAACAATACACTGCACCGCCGCAGCAATACACTCCTGCCGCCGCTGCTGCTGCTGCTCCTGCCCCAAGCACCAATAGCACCGCAACAAGCTTTGCTGGCTTTGCTGGCAAGGTGTCTGGAGGGTTGAGCAAGCTGGGCAATTTTGGCAAGAGCATCCGTGCCGCCGCCACCTCTGTCTCCTCCTCGAGCTCGGTCGGAGGACCGTCCGGCACACCATCGCCGCCTGCCCGACCCGGCGCTGATCAATTTGCTGGCGAGGACGAGATGTCGGACGATGTGCTTGCGCAGAATGCGTCGACCGTTGCCGACGGTGCCATCTGCCCTCGCGAGGCCCTGCAATTCCCCAACCGCGTTCGTACGCCCGTCGGTCCGCGAGATCTTCCCGAGACGCGAGTCTAGCCGCTTTTTTGTGTGCACCACGGCGGGGGGGGGGGGACAGGTTTCCTGTTGTTGGAGTGTTGAGTTTGTCGTTTGTCATTTGTTGATGTTGTTTGTCCCCACCTCTCCCATTCTTTTTTTTCATTCTACTTGCTTTCTCTTGAAATTCTCTGTGTGATGCCTTTTGAGATTCTACCATCATGGAATACAGCTGTATTCTCCACCGCCCTCTTCCTTGTCCTATTCTGCTCGCGTCAGTTCATCCTTTTCTTACCCTTTTTTTCTTCGTCTTTTTTTTTTTTTTTTTCCATATGGTTGCTCCAAACGCTCCCGCTCCTAGCGCTGAGCCTTCGCCCTCGGCGAGCCCGGCCCCCGTCCCCGTCTATGAGACTGTCCGCAGCGCCGTTCTCTCGCAGGCCGGCGGTCTCCTCGGCCTCCTCTTCTGCTTCTTTGGCTACCGTCTCGCCAAGATTGGTGAGTGACTTAAAAAAAAAAAAGCGAATAATCGAAAAAAAAAAAAAGCCGACCCGCCCTATGTCCCTGTGCCTCTCTCTTTGGTCCCTGCCTGAGGGAGGCCGGCGTGTCTGGGCCGCACTTTACGCCTTTCAAGAGGGTGCAGGAGGGAGAGTGCTCGTCTGCTTCGAGCCGAGCGTAGACACGCTGCTTGTAGCGTTCAATTGAAATCTTTGTGATCCTACTCAACCGCCTCAATCGCCTCAATAGCCGCAATAGCAGGAGCAAACCTCGACCAGTACTTCGTGTCGCGCTTGGTGTGGAATGTTTTAACAAAAAAAAAGGCTTCTTTGAGCTAGCAGGCCGAAAGCCAGGCGGTCTGGGAACAGGCAGGGTTTAGTGTGGAAGATATCGTACATGGCAACGAAGGATTAGCTTGAGCACTACCATACTACAAACTCGGATATTACTGGAGCACATTGCTCCAACTGTGACAGCAAAATTATGTGGCCTTGTTTCTCACTCGCTTGAGCACTTTGCAAATGCGAAAATGATCAGTCGTCTTCACTGGCGGCTTCTTTGTCCTCGGCGCCATCTTCTACCTGTTCAGCCCTGGCTTTATCAAGTCGGACCTGTGCTGCGGACCCCAAGGCGAAACCTGGGGTAAGGCCAAATGTTGCATCTGCTGATCTCAATGAGTGTGTTTGCGTTCTGTCTTTGATCATCCTTCATTCATTCGCTCACTCACTCGCTCCCGCTTGCATCTGCCCAACAAACTTTTTCACAGCCCACCTGCTCTTCTCTGCGCTTGTCGGACTCGTTGGCGGCTTGATCGCCCTCAAGCTGATGCGCTTTGGTCTGTTCTGCGTTGGTCTGCTGTTTGGCCTGATTGCCGCCGTCCTGGTTCTGCAAACCCCGCTGGCCACCAGCAGCTTCATGGAGAACGACTTTGCCTTTGGCTTCTTCTATGGCGGCTGTGCCCTGCTGTTCGGTCTGCTTGCCGTGGTGTTTGAGAAGGCCGCCCTCGTGTTCAGCACTGCTGTTGGCGGCGCGTTCGCCTTCTACTTTGCCATTGACTACTGGGTTGGCAGCTCGTTCTCGGACGTCATTGTCTACTTTATCACCCGCGTCCAGACAAGCATCCAGGACTCTGTGCAAAACAACGAGGCGCCCACCATGATCGAGTTTGACCGCTCCTTCTCCGACGACGCGTACATTCTCATCTCCTGCTGGCTCGTCACTGCCCTCTTTGGCGTCATCGTCCAGTACAAGAAGACCAGCAAGGGCTACAACCACCGCGCTCAGCCCCGCCAGCCCAAGTCCGTCGATCAGACGCCTCCGTCCGTCCTTGTCATGCGCAGCCCCGTCGCCAACACGACGAGCGAAATCTAATGACGCCTGTCAAGTACATTGGCAGCGAGACCTGTTCAATGAGGTCCTTCCACCTTGTCGTGTCTTCCTCGTTTTTTGTTTTTTTCCCGTTTTTCCCTCTTCCAACGTGTGCTGTCGACAGCTTTCGTCCGCAGCTCGGCGTGCGCGCACCAGCTTGTGCGCATGGAAATAAGTTTGCCGTTGCTTGCTTATTCTTGTTATGAAGTTCTCCCCATTGCTATGTTGTTGTTATTGTTGGTGTTGTTGTTGATGTTTTCGTTTCAGAATGAAAAAGTGCATTTTTAGACAAACCAAAACCATGCACCACCCTGGTGCTCGTGTTCACTTTGTTGCGAGATATTGAATTACTCAGACTTGACATCGGCTTGTGACCCTTGTGTTGCGCTGGCCTCAGCTGCGCGAGCCTCTGCGTGGTGAAATCCAACAACGAGAAGAACAGTGAGACGACCCATTTCACACCCCACCCCGGACTTTCGATAGTGGCAAAGTATCTCTCTCTACCAAGATGCACATGCTCCCAAGTCACGTACTAGCGAATTGCTTGGCCAGCTGCTCCATGTAGGCGTCTGCTAGTGCTTGCTCGGCCTCGAACTTGGCCTCGTCGAACGCGTCGTCGTCCTCCTCTGCTGGCGGGACTGGAATGTTCATTGTGGGCAGTGCACTCATGAATGACTGCAAGAGCTTCTGCTCAGTGTGATTGATGGAGGGGAGACCAAAGACGAGGTGAGTTTTGCTTTGCCTTGTTGTTGTACATGCAACACACACGCGCGCACGCACGCGGCGCCAAGTTTGGTGATCGCATCATACCTTGTTGAGGTGGTCTGTTTGTGAGATTTCGCGCACAACCTCACCAGAGGTGGCAGGAACAGCGGCTGCGGCTGCGGAATTGTTGTCGCTCATTTTCGCAGTGAAAACTCAGAGTTAGCAAGTCAAAGAAAAGAGTAAACTGAGAATATATTTGGAGACAAGGACGCTTCCTCGACGCACAACGTACACACACACAAAAAAAATGCGAAAAGAAACAAACAAAACCGAGAAAACAAGAAAAGAAAAACATTTTGATGCTTCAACAAAGCTCTAAGACTCGTTCAGCACGCGCTGGAGATTGAACAGAGTCAGCTTGTCGTCATTGGAGCGCACTAGCCGTTCAAGATTGGTGATTCGCCAATCGACCTGCACAACAACAACAACCAAGCCAGTGAGCGACAAAGCGACGAGTGCAAAAACATACACACCCCCCCCCAAAAAAAAAAAAAAATCAACCACACCAAAGTCCAAATGAAGCACTCTGCAATCTCACCTGCTGCATAAAAACCACAGTAAACGCATCCTTCTTGTTGGGAATGGGCGACACCATAAACCCGGAGGTCCACATTTTGCACCGCACGCCGTCTTTGGTTTCGGGGCACGCGCGGTGGGTGATGGAGCGGAACAAAATGTACTTGTCGCCAGTCACGCGGTCGTTCTGCAGCACCACGCGCAGGACGCAAAAGTCGCGCGCACGACGCGCGTGGAAAGGTGGGCCTTGGTTGAGATGGAAGACGGTCACGCAATCGTTGAGACTCTCGACCACCTGCGCGCTAACAAACTTTGGCATCCACTTTGCACGTGCTTCGCTCATGTCCATCAGCGCATTCCACAGCTTGGCCTCGGGGGCGTTGATGACGCGGCGGTAGCGGCGACAGCGGACAGGCTTGGTCTCAAACTTTTTGAAAACGTCCGTGCCATCATGATGCTCGGTCAAGACCCACCGTATGCCAGAGACAACAGGGATGCCGGAAGCCGTAGCGCCACCGGGAATGTGCGGCGGGTTGGGATTCATCGAGCTCGAGGCGGCGCCAGTCGGTGCCCACACCAAATCGTTCACGTCCATCGACGCGGGTCGCTTGTTGAGAGTAATGTGAGGCGTGTTGGCTGCATTCATGGATGATTGCGCGCGAAGAGGTTGCTTGGCTGACGATTGCTGCTGCGCGCCTACCGACAATGCGTTGGCAAAGTTTGCAGCACTCCCGGAAGGGCTGGTGTTTGCTACCAATGACAGCTGGCCATGATCTGAGGTTGAAGGGGAAATGCTCCCTTTCAACGTCGCCGTGGAGCCGCCGACTTCGGCCACAAAGTCGCGCAGCATTTCAATATGCACATTCGCCCCGCCGCCACTTTCCGACAGGTACTCGAGCATGTCGCCGTACAACTCCGAGTCCAAGAAGCGACGATACGTGTCGTTGCGCATCAGGTTGAAGATCTGTCTTTGGGCATCGTCAAACAAGGAAATCGGTGGCCGCTCGGTGCTGGCACACAGCTCGTCGTACGACTCTTTGAGGGCAGACCGCACTTGGGTGGACAGATTGACAACGAACGGCGCCTGCTGCAGGACGTACGAGCTGAACACTTCAATGGCGTGGGACAGGCAGTCTTCGTCCGTCTCGTCGGCGTATGCGGCCTTGAATGCCTCCACGGCGAGCCAAAAGTCGAGGTTTTCGACGCTAAACTCGCTCTCCAGGAAGCGCGCATAGTAGATGCGCGAAAACACACCATGCAGCACGTCCTGGAGCGACAGGAAGACTTCGGAATTGTCGCCATCCACGCTATCGGCGCGCCCCGACCGCAGGCCGCCTTGTCTGGACGCTTCTTCGACCGATAGTTGTGGCCCGAGTGCGCCAAGTCCTGGACGCGAGGAGCCGTTCGGCTTTTCCTTGCTGGGTACGCGGCCAAGCGGCGCGTGTTGAGGAGGCACCAAGGATTGGCTGGGTTCGATGGAACTGCTCGGAGTCGGCGAGCCAGGCGTCGGGGTCACTTGCGGCGAGGGCGATGGCGAGCGCTCTGTTGCCAGTCGCTCGTTCAAATAGTCTTGCATTTGCACAATCTTCTTGGCGAGCCTCATGCTGGCTCGTCGGCGCTCGTCGCTCATGGGCGTCACAACAGTGCGAGGCATCACGATGCGTTCGAGGCCAAGCGTCTTGGCGACGTTGATGGCCATGGCCTCCTCATTGTTGTATGTGATGAGGTGTTTTGGGTCCATCTGGGATGTTGTCATCAGAGAAAGAAGCAGAGTAGGAACCAAAATGCGTCAGAGACAGAGAAGAATGTGAGGTTTGAATCGAAAAGAGCACGCCTGAACAAACAAACGAACAAACAAACAAACGAAAACAACAACCACCACCACCCCCTGGCCAAAGCTTCGCACCTGTTGTAGAAACGCAACGTCGCACGAGTCGCCGCTCGCGGCGTCTGCGTACGAGCGCACCATGTAGCCGGAAATGCCCAGCTCGGCACGCACAATTCGGCTGACTCGAGGTGTCGCTGGATGGTTGACCGATCGAAACAGCACAAACGTGGCATTGTCCCGGACGATTTGGCGTTCCAGAATGACAAGTTCTCGAGCTCTATACAGGAGGTGCAAACAAGAACAAAGACGGCGAATGAATGAATGAAAATGAGACAATCGACTCTGGTTTTCTCCCTCGCTAGTCTCTTTGGGACGACGGGAGCTGTTACCTATGAACGGTCGTTGCTGCATATTGCAGACGCACGACCTTGGCTTGCTCGGCAGGGAATTGCTGAATGACCTCTGAATCGATGAGCTTCGAGTCCCACTTGCGACGCTTGACCGAAAAGTCCTCGAGCAGCCGGACGACGGTCGCGCCGGCAGCATGAATCCGCTTGAGCTCGCGCGTGCAAATGTACGGCTTGCTGAACTTTTTCTGGTACAGCTTGAGCTCATTCCGGTTGTAGCAGAGCGTCCACAGATCCGAGACCAGGTCGCCATTCAGACCCGTCTCGCGCACAAAGTCCTCCACCCGCAACGCAGCAATCTCGGCCTCAATGTTAAACTCTGACGGTGACGATGCTGCTGATGGTGATGCTGCTGCTGCTGCTGCTGCTGATGTGGATGATGATGATGCTGTTGCTCCTGCAGCCGGCGCAGGGGACCCCGACGAGAGCGGGCTCTTGGTGAGCGAGCCAGGCGAAGTGGGCGCTTGGACTGGCCGACTGCTGCTGGCACCAGCAGCACCAGGAGCAGCGCCGCGCGTCAGTGCTGCAACAAAGTCGTCGTGCTCGGCTGACATTGCAAGCGAGATAAAAGAGAAAGAGAGATGTGAAGTGGGTTTGAACACTGAGGAGAGAGAGAGAGAGAAGCGGTCGAAGGAATGGAACGAGATTGAGCGAGCTCAGACGTATGTGGAGTGAGTGTGAGTGAGAGAGGCACAGACCAACGGAGTCGAAGAGGAGCAAACGTCGGTGCTGTGCTTTTGAGGGGGGGGGGAGAAAAAAAGTCGCGTCCCCCTTCCTCACCCAGTTTCACAAGCGTGTGCTGTGCGCTGAACAGCAAGTGAAGTGAACGAGTTTTGAAGTTTTGGAGAAAAAAAAAAAAAAAAAAAAAAAAAAAAAAGATGGATGCACTTTTTTAGTCTTTCGCTTTTTGGGGGTTTTTGTATTGCTCTTCGTCTTCTGCTTTGCTTTTGACCGTCGCTCACGTTTGGTTTTGTGGTGTAACGGAACTTGAAACGTCGGGTGAGAAGCACAAACGCACGAAGAACACGAGACGAAGAACAGCAAAACCAAACAGAAAAACAAGCACGAAAAAAAAAGGAGCAGCGAAAAGCGAAAAAAAAAAAAAAAAAAAAAAAAAACCGACAATGACCGAGAATTAAAAAAAAAAAAAAGAGTAAAATAAAAAATCAAAAAGAAGAAGAAAAAAGGGCAAGGCAACGAAATAGATCGTTCAGACCCTCGGAGATCAATGCAGCATGTGTTGACAGAGAAGAGTCGCTGTCTGAGGTTCAATCGCAGCTCACCAAGTGCAAGGCGATGGTGAAGACGAGGGGAAAGGGGGGAGGGGCGGCGTTGAATTGAAATCAAACAAGAGAACAAGTATGAAGCCAGATGAAAAATTCGCGTCAGACCTCACAAATGCTAAACCAAGTGCTCACATTCAACACAACGAGGTGCAAGGTGCAAGGGCGGATGGGGAAATGTCGAGAGCGAGAGTACTCAAAAAATGTCAAGGAGCAACGTCGTGCAAAGAGCAGCAAAAAACCACTTGAACGGCATCCACAATTCGCACAATTTCGGGCAAAATTCACCAAAAAATTCACAAGATCAACTAACCGCGGCCTGCACGAGGGAAAGTCGAGATCGCGCGGCCTGGCTGGATGAATAGTCGATGAAAGTCTTCTTGTTCCATGCGGACGGGATTTTGCTGGGGGCTCGCGCTGCTCAGCGAATGTTTTGTGATTGACATTTTCATCTCTTTTTTAGGACGCGTGGGAACAGCTCTCAAGTTGCAGATCATTTTGAAAGGACGCCTGATTTGGGGGAGGGGGTATGAGGCCTTACATGATGTGAATTGACAGAACCACGAGACTACTTGACCAATCTTCTTTAGGAGCTCGGCGGTTCAACGGTCAAGAACAGCAGCATGGAGGCTGAAATCTCGAACTTCCCGATTGCCTCGTCTCCCTCTCCCTTCTACGGGCACGTTTTCTTACCTGCAATGAATCAGGAAGAGCACAAAACACAGCTAATGTGTCTACACAGAGCGATCGCAGCGTTCTAATCGCACACTGTCTGATTTCGATTTCGCGCGCGAAACAGATCAACAACGCATCAATGCGGTGTTGCTCCGGGGCTTCTGGACTTGCTCGATTTGCAAGCATGACTCTAGTGTTATTCGTTCATCCCAAACTTTGTTTTGTTGCATCCAGCGTATTGCCTCTGTCTGAGATGGTCAGTCTCCCTTTCCCACCGCTTTTCGCTCCTCTTCTTCTTCGTTCGATCGTCGTCGTCGTCGTCCCCCTCTCTACGCATTATACAGGACAAACTCCTTCCTTTCTTTTTGTTGTCCAACATGTCGTCTGCTTCCATGGTGGAAGACGCGGCTGGCGTTGCTGCTCCACAGCTCGCTCTTTCAGGAACAGGCGTCAATGCTGCACCAACCACGGATGCGCCGTTCTACCTGCTCGGGCGCCGAAAAGGTAAAGGGGGACTTTTCAAAGCAAACTGCAGTCCCATTGACATTGAGGCTGCTTGCCCCTTCTGCTTGCCCCTTCAAACGCGATCGGCGGTCTCACACGTAACCGCCCTTGTTTTGCGCGCTTTGGTACAGTGGAAGAGACGCTCACCGCTGCGACCAACCTGCTCGAGCACCACGGATTACAAGACTTGCTTGATCAAGCTCAGGCCATGTCCAAGGAAACGGTCGCATTGCAGCTCTCCGCTGCCATCCCTCATCTTCCAGGTAAGCACTTTTTGTCACTCGTGGTCACTCTCGAGCAAGTTGCTTCTCGTGTCTCAATTCATGGCATTGCGCTCGCTCGTGTATGCGATACAGGAAACGAGATCGGTCGGGCCGCACCCGAAGAGCGCCTGCAATCCATCATCGATCGACCGCCAATCATGGGCAAAGCGTTAGTCCCCATCTCTGAAGGAACGCTTCGACGTGCATTCACTCTTCAGCCCGGCACGGTGAGTCAACTCCTGGGTTTCATGAATGCCGCCAGCCAGTCCGGCCTGCATGCGCGATTTATTCACTTTGTGACTTGTTAATGTTTGCACAGATTGATAACGTGCCCTTTCTTCGAGAAACAGAACGCGTCAGGCAACAACCCCCACCCATCGTTCAAAAGCACAAGCTCGATGATGCACAGGAGGAAACGGAAGAAGAGCGCGCGCGCCGCAAGCGTGAAAAGAAGGACAAGAAAGACAAGAAGGACAAATCTGATAAGAAGGACAAGAAGGAAAAGAAGGACAAGTCCGAGAAGAAGGAAAAGAAGGAAAAGAAAGAGAAAAAGGAAAAGAAGGAAAAGTCTGACAAGCGAGATAGCTAGCTTGAAGGGAGCTGGAACGACACTGAGCATCCGCTTTTTGGTTGCCCTTACGAGGATCACCTCCCTCAACCGAACACTGAACGTCAGCCACAATTCAATCACAGTAATGACGAAATAATAAACCTGCCAGGCATTTCCTTCATCAGATCCATAGCAATCAATCAATCAACAACTGAAATGAAGGGATTCGACATGAAAATGTATCGACATTGCTCGAGCGCACACACTCAACCATCATCAAACAAACGAGTGCACACACTCAAAGGGGGAAAGGAAAAAGGTATCCATCATCAAACAAAATATCAAGGAGCTGGAGCCGAAGCCAAACCATCGCCCGCAACGGCAGGGGTTGGCAGCTCGGAGCTAGATGCGCTGGCAGCCGGCCGGACGGGAGTGAACGCACCAGATGTGCCACTCCTCTGGCCGATGGCAGGCTGTGGAGCCCCGGCTCGCAAAGTCGAAGGCGGCTGCTGCGAACTCGATGCCGGTCGTCCGGATGACATGTCAGGAACAAGACCCGATTGGGATGCACGACCGCGCCCGCCCGTGGAATGCCCGCCGGGCTGCGTGCGGAGGCGATACGCAATGGCAAAGTAGGACGTGAAGATTTGCATCATGGTGTTGAGAATCGTGAGGTTGTCGGGCTCAAAGACCAGGGTCATGTAGTGGAGCGGGGCGCTTTGGAGCACATTCACAAAGAACTGCTTCTTGTACCCAGGGTCGACGCCGACCAGTGAGACCTTGTGCAAATCGGCAGAGAGAATCAGGGTTCCCTGCTCAAACACTTCAAATTGGCGTGCGCCAATCACGACTGTTGCGCGTCTGCTCTTGATCTTGGAGAAGAGCGAAGTGATAGCTCGAGGCACCAACAGCTTGACGGCGTCGAGGTGCGATCTTGGGCCCTCGACAGTGGCTGGGGCCTCGGGTGGAACAATGTCCGCACAACCCCAGTAAATGACGTCAAAGGTGCGCTTCTCAATCACGAATTGCATTTCGCCGCTTTCGTCCAGCACGGGGATATGGGCAGGAGCCGGGCTGGGCAGCGCCTCGAGGACGGCGAGCGCGGTGGCCAACGGCGATGCGGGAGGCTGTGGAGGCTGCGGCTCTTGTGGTGGTGGGGCTTGCTTGGCAGGCGAAATCTCGGCTGCCGTAAGGTCTGGCGCAGAGTCGGACGCGAAAAACATGGGGGTCGAAGGTGCAGATGGGGAGGAGGTAGCGGTCGAGGGTGCAGTCGCCGAGGCCGGTTTGCTCGTAAAAATGGAAGGGCTGCTCTCCAATCGCGACAGCAGCCAGTTGGTGCGCGGTTTCGAGGGTGCAGGTGACGGTGTAGCTGCCGAGCTGCCTGTAGTGGCTTCGGTGTCGTTCACGCCTTCGAGCAAGTCGACCGAAGATGGTTGCCTGGAAACGGATGGAGAGTCTTCCACCTGGAAGGATGGGAGGCAGAGGCGGAAGGGGGTGATTGGCGAAGACAACAAGAAAACAAACAACTCATGAGTCACACGTTGGTGGTGCAACATGACGCCATCAAAAAACGGCCCTTATCACAACGCGTCGACTTACTTCATCGCCATCCACCGCTATCAAGTCGCCTGTGGGGACCTTCTCGGCCAGCGTGTCAAACTCGGCAGCTTCGGCGACATTCTTGATGACGGCCATCCACTCGTCACGATCGCGCTCGTTCTCGGCCTGCAGCACCAAGGGATGCTTGGCGATCGCCGGGGACGTGACTGAGAATGCAAATCGTCGATCATCCAAATCGTGGACGGTCGCTGTTGCGTTGTGGAGATGCGTGGCAACATGGACAACCTGGGATGTGGAAGTGGGATTGAATTGGGTGGTGAAAACAAAATCAGAATGAGTCCGAGACGATGAGCAGGCTTTTGGTTACATCTTTTGGGGGTGGGGAGGGGGGAAAAACTCACGTTGTTGTCATCGCTAAAGACCAACTGGTGGTCCACAACATCAAACCAGACGCGGTCCCAACGGCGCCCGTTTTTGCCAATCTTGTTTCTGTTGAGAAAGGGCCCCCAAACAATCAGTGAGCAATGGCTGCTAGAGCAAACAAAAACAACAGTTGTGCAATCCATCGCAAAGCCCATCAGCTCTTACGTGCGGAGCATCAGATAGCCCGTCTTGGTGATAAGCGACAGGTTGGCGGGAAGATAATCAGCAAAGGGATCATCGGGGTCAGCGTCGGGATTGTACTTGGCCGCGTACTCTTGCTCAATGTGCTCCACAAGTCCTGGAAGACGTTGCAAATCTTTGGTCGCAAACTCGCGCGACTCGGCCAGCTCGGTGTTGAGTGTTTGCAAGAATGGTCGAACTTGATTCTGAAAGTAGTTGGCTCCCATCTGAAAGTAGGAGGCTTGGGCGTGCATGAACGCGAGCATGGGCTCGAGCAGCGCAGCCTTGCGCTCGTGTTGGAAGCGCCGCATGGCCACGTAGTACTCGAGCGACGCAACGTGAAACTTTTTCCGCGCGGCATACAACTCGGCGTTGGCCTCAAACCTGGCCTTCTCGGTCTCCTTGCGCTTGGACATGCGCGCATACCGCTGGCAGGCAGACTCGTGCTCGGCTGCCGCTTCCTCGAGCTTGGCGCTGGCCACCTTGACGCTTTTGAGCTGGTCCTGCATGAGACGCTGCAGCGGCTGCATGAGGACAGACGACAGCTGCCCTTGGTGCAGCTCCTGCCACGAGTGGATTTCGTGCATAATGTTGCTGAATTTGGCCATGGCCGACTCAAACGAGAGGTCCCGCTCCGTCGCCACACCCGACCCAGCAATCTGCACGTCATAGGGTGCTTGGGGCGAGGGGATGGCGGTCTGCCGCGCCGGCGGGGCAGGCGAGTGGATCAAGGATTCCGCGCTCAGCTTGGGAAAAGCTCCGAGCTGCTGGGCGACGTTGTGCATGGCTTTGGACGAGAGCTCGACAGCCTTGTGCAGACGGTTGCCCTCGCCAATGAGCATGGACGCGTAGTGGCCCGTGGCAGCAGCCTCCTTGCTGTACGAGTGGAAGGTTTGCAGCAGCTTGGGCGAGGTGTGGACGCAATCGAGCAGTGTTGGGCTTCGCGCCAGAGCAGGAGCAGATCCATCAGCAAGCGGTGTCGGCTCTTGGCTCGCAGCAGTGCGCACGTCGTGAGACGATGGACGAGCAGTCGAGTTTGGCGGGTTTCGAATGCCATCTGCCAGAGCCTCGTCGGCATCTGTCTGTTCAAGACTGTCGGCCCCACTTGGAGTCAGCTCTGATGCGATTGAAACAAAGGTGGTCGTCGAAGCAGCTGGAGCGGGCTCTGGCACGAGCACATTGGCTTGAGGAGCGCCGCTATTGTTGAGCGACGTGGCGTCCGACGACTTGGACGAGCTCGTGGTCGCACTCGCGGGCACGGCGATGGACGCTGATACGTCCTTGTTCTCCCACGCAGCGGTCGGCTGGGTCTCTCGGGCGGCACTGGCACTGGCACTGGCACTGGCACTTGCAGCATCAGCATCAGCATCAGCTTCGGAAGGAGCATCAACAGCCGTGCCGCTGTGGCCCTGCAGCAGACCGTTGCTCGTGACAAAGTTGCTGCTGTTGAGACTGTCCGAGCTGCCGCCCAGCGTGGTGGCCGCGGGCCCGCTCATGTGAGGGACGACGGCGCCAATCATCAGCTGCACGGCGGCAGGCTCGTCGTTGTCGTCGCCGTCAAAGCTCAGCGCGTCGAGCTCGACTGGGGGCACGTCCAGCAGCAGCAGCTGGTCCTGGTGGTGGTGGTGGTCATCGTGGTGGTCGCTGTGGTGCATGAACGCCGCATCGGGGTCTGCGTCGTCGGCAGAGTGGCTGGCTGCGGTGGTTTCAGGGTCGTCTGCTGCAGCAGAATCCATTCGGGGAAGAAAGAAAAAAAACAAAGTGAGTTTTTTGCTTTTGATCTTTTGGCTTTGATTTTACGATAAACTTCAACTTGATCATCGTGTAGCAGATTCGCTTTGGTGAACAGCAGTCTCGTCATCATTGAACAAAAAAAAACGTCAAGATCAACCATGCAAAACCGAAACGACCAGCGGCATGCGACGAAAAAAAGCACACAATACAACAAACAAGCACAAGAAACAGGTGACAGAAAAAAATGGGTCTTCTACCAGTGAGCGTTGTGAAGCTTGGCAGCCGCTTGGACAAAGTCCACATGCGAGGCATACAGCGCGAGACTCTGGTCAATGGCAACCCACTTGACGGCGCCGGCATCGTCGCCAGCCTGGAGCTTGAAGGCCTCAAACACGGTGGTGTCGTCGTGGAAGTTGACGGCGACCGTCTCCATCCAGGCGTTGTCAGTGTTGCGTGGATCGTCGACATAGCCCTTGAACACGGTCACGCCGTTGCCAAACAGCTGGTCGATTTGAGTTTCGAGCTCCTTCTTGCGCTCCTCGGACGCTTCGACCGAGTTCATGGCCTCCTCGCCAAACTCCTTCTTGAGGGTGGCCGAGACCGTGTCGCCGGGCTCCACCATGCCGCCAGGAATGGCCCATTGGCCGTTGTCCTTGCGCTTGATGGCGACAAACTCCAAGACGGGCTTGCCGTCGACAAGAATTTGCTTGCCGCTCTCGTCCCGCTGCCACCGCGTCACCACCGGGTCTGCGGCATGGTTGGGGCCCCATCGTCCAAGCAGTCCGCGCCCTGCAAGACCAGTGCGGCCCTTGGGGTTGCTGCAGAAAGGACATGCAAAGACAGAGAGAAGAGACCAAGAATGAGTGTGATTGCTCTCATCGTGATTCATCACAACCAACACGAAACAAGCAGCAAAAGTAGAGAGCGGAAACAACTGTTACCGAGGGAGACCATCAACGATCTGGTAGGTGCCTTCAAAGCTGGTGCGGTCCACAGCGCCATCCACGGCGTTGAACTTGAGGTCGGCCTTTTCCTACACGAGAGGCAAAATGCAGCAAGTCAAGCAACAATTCAAAATGCCGGCAAAACGTTAGTGAGTCTCCAACAACAACAAAAAAAACCCCCTGACAGATAAACCAAACAAAAACAAAAAACATAAAATTTGAACAAAACTCACGGTACGAACGTCGACATCCGCCCAAGCCGGCTTGCTCAGCACAACAGGAGCAGTGTAGTCCGTCGGTGAGTAGTTGGGGAAATCGGCACTCCAGGACACGACGGAATCCGACACGGCAGCGCGCTTGACGCCGCCTTGGTACGTCTCCTCTCGCGCTTTGGTGTGCGGCTTGCTGGCGGACGCTGCCCCGCTGGTTGAAGCCTTGGGAGCGTGCATGGAGCGAAGCGACTCCTGTCGGTCGAGCGCTGCTCCGGGCTTGTCGTTGGCGGGGTCGTGGAAGTAGCTGCCCTTCAGATCAAAGCTCAGGCAGCGCTGCACAGTGCGTTCCCAGAAGCGGAAGGTGTCGCGGACAGCCTGCGACAGGGGTTGCGGCTGGAAGACACGCTGGGACTTGCGCAGAGCAGACAGCTCGTCTCGGGAGGTCCAGATGCCCGCCGCGAGGCCCGCAAGGAAGGCAGACCCCAATGCAGTCATGTCAAGCGTCTCTGCAATGTCGAGCGGTGTTTGGGTCAGCGTACTGCACAGCTGAAGGAGGAAGGCGTTGCGGCATACACCGCCGTCCATGCGGACAGAGTTGAGGCGGATGGGAACATCCGTCTTGAGAATATCAAACAATTGCTTGAACTGGTACGCGATCGCCTCGAGCAGCGCGCGAACGCAGTGCTCTTTGGTGGAGCCAAAGGTCAGGCCCATGAATGCAGCGCGCGCGTTGGGGTCATTGTACGGCGCCTGCAGGCCGTTGAAACCGGGCACGAGGTAGACACCGTCCGAATCAGGAACGGACTCTGCCATTGCCTGCGTCTGTCCAGGCTCCTGGTACAAGCCTACACAGTATTTTGGTTGTCGTGGTTGGAAGGAACCAAAACAACAAAAAGGAGGGGGACGGGGAGGGGTGGCATGACAAAAAAAAAAGTGAGCAACTCTCTAGCTGAGCGGCATGACAGAAGAATTAGTGAATAGGAAGCACCAAATGCTTACCAAAGCGTTGGCCCCATTCAATCATGGAGCCAGCAGAAGATGCGACCGCCTCGGCGAGAAAGACAACCTCGTCGCCAATCTTCCATGCGACAAGCGGGTAGAGGCCCTTGTCGGAAGCGTGGGGCTTGGAGCCAGTGTTAATGTCCATCATCATGCCAGTGCCAATCGTGACCTTGACATCGCCACGCTTGAAGCAGCACTCGCCGAACAGGGCGCTTTGCTGATCCGCAACCACCGCAGTGATTGGGATGGGCGCGCCGAACAGGGAGGCTTCCGTCGAGCCGAAAGTGCCGCTGGTGTCGCGAATCTCTGGAAAGATGCTGCGCGGGATGGACAGCATGTTGATCACAAAGTCGTTCCAGCCCATTTGGAAGGGGTCGAACAGGCCGGTCGAGCTCATGTTGGAGTAATCGGTCGCGTGAAGGGCGCCGGCGGAGAACTTGTACAGCAGCCACGTGTCGACGGTGCCGAACATGAGCTTGCCTGCCTTGGCCATCGGCAGCGCTTCGGGAATGTTTTGGAAGATCCACGCAAGGCGAATGGAAACCTGCACCGTCGTGAAGGTGAACGAGCTGGCGGCCTTCATGCGCGAGGCGCGTGTGAACGTGTGGGCCAGCTTGGCACCCGTCGTGACGGACTAGACGAAGTACGCGGCGGAAAAAAACAAACAACAAAGTGAGGAACAAAACGAAACGGAACGATACAAGAGACAAAAAAGCAGCGGTCAAAAAATGAAGAGACAGCTGAACCAACCTTCATCGAAAAGGACGAATTCCACTCGCGGCAAAGCTTGGCCGCACGCAAGTCTTGCCAAGTGATAAAGTTATGCAGGGGCTTGCCAGTGTCGCTGCAGGCGTGAAGCCAAGGGGGGTAACGTTAGTGTTTTGAAGGTTCAATTGAAACGACATCGACAAACAAACGCAACACAAGGTCCTTTTACCGATTCCAGTTGGTGAACGAGTTTCGCTGCGTGGTGATGCCCAAGCACGAGATCTGAGCTGCTGGGACCTTGGACGCTGTGGGTTTGGCACACAAAAACGGTCAGAAATGGATGTTTCCATTGAGGACAGCAATGCTGCACCCATTACCTTTGATAGCATCGGTGATGACCTGCTTGCACTGCGACCACAGAATCTCGGGATCCATTTCAATCCAGCCAGGGTGCGGGTAGATCGGGATGGTCTGGTTCAGTGCACACAAGAACGGGGGATTAGTGGTAAGGTCGAGATTAGCATTGAGGTTGGAACTCGTGATTGCCGTTGCTATTGCTGTTTTGGGATGTGAGTGTGTGTGCTATCTATTATTGCACTGGTGGATGTCGCCACACTCACACACAGCATTGACAAAGAGAGCGAAGAAGAAAAAAAAAAAAAAAAAAAAGAGGACAATAATAATAATCATCGCTGCGAAGAATCACAGTGCTTCAGCTGCAGCGTGAGTGACGACCGCCCAGAGCAGGACAGCGCGACCAACAACAAGCGAGGAAGGTGGCTGGGTGTCGAGTGACGAGACTCGTGTGGGTTGGCTGTGCAGGGAAGAAGGAGCACACAAGTCTCAATTTGCATTGAGCTCGAGGCGGGGCTCATTATTTCCCCCTCGCCCTTCCTCTGTCAGTCTTCACTCCAATGCACTCCGGCCACACACTCGAGCAGACAAGGGAGCCCTTTCTGTGTAATCCATCGATGGCGTGGGGAGGGAGGGGGGGTGGCTGAGGAGGAGAAACTGTTGTTGGTCACCTTGACATAGGACGAGCCATGCACTTTGGTGTGCTGATCCAGAACGACGGCCCGGATGCCAGTTGTGCCCACATCCAGCGAGAGGACGTACTTGAGATCAGACATCCTGAGACGTTGAGAATAATAATAATAATAAGAAAAAAAAAGAGTGCAGAGTGGTAAATTCGTACACTTTTGAATCATCGACAAGAAACGCTTTGATTGTTTGGATTTGAATGCAAAACGCTGGTGTTCTCAGATAGCGAAGGGACATCTCAAAAAAAGAAATTGTTCATTGGGCATGGACATTCACACACCATGCATCAAAATAACAAGACAACAGAGAAGAAAAAGACAAGACAAAACAAGTTTACTCGTCCTTCTTGCCACCACGCTCCTTCTCGTAAGCACGAACAAGCTCAAGCTGAGTGCTCATGGGCACTGGTGCGTGACGGACATACTCCATCGAAAACTCGCCCTTGCCCTACAAGTGACAAGCAGAAACAAACATCATCCGTGAGCTTGTGTTGATTTGGCCCCCAACTTAAGACTAACAAAAGAAAAGAAAAAAAAAAAAAACACCACATACCTGAGTCGCAGAACGCAATTCGGTGGAATAGCCAAACATGTTGTTCAGCGGAACCTCAGTCTGGAGAACGCAGTAGCCGTCCGAAACCTCGCTGTCCAGAATCATGCCCTTGCGGCGGTTGACTTGGCCAGACACGGCACCCTGGTGCTCCTCGGGGATGGTGATTTCAACCTTCATGATGGGCTCGAGCAGGATCGGGCTGCCGTTGGCGTACGCTTGACGGACTGCGCCACGAGCAGCGAGGCGGAAGGCCAATTCGTTCGAATCGACAGGGTGCGATTGGCCGTCCTTGAGATCGAAGCGGATGCCAACGATGCGGTTGCCGGTGAGCGAGCCGCGGTCGCACGCCTCCTGGAAGCCGCGCTCAATCGCCGGGACGAACGCGGGCGCAATGTTCATGCCAATCATGGTGTTGGTAAACTCGTTGGCGTCGCCGGCTTCCTCGCCGATGGGCTCGATCGTGCCAATGACACGGCCGTACTGACCCGAGCCACCAGACTGCTTCTTGTGCAGGTAGTCAAAGTTGACGGGAGCAGTGATGGTCTCGCGGAAGGCAACCTTTGGCTTGCCGGAAATGGTGGGGCAGTTGTACTCGCGCTTCATGCGCTCCAAGTACACTTCCAAGTGGAGTTCACCCATGCCGGAAATGATGGTCTGTGTAGAGTGGAGGAGTTTTGGTCGAAGTCAGCACCCGAAAAAAAACACCAAGCAAAGGGATGAACAGCGAAAAAGCCGGAAAAAAAAAAAAAAAAAAAAAAACTCCACAAACCTCCTTGCTGTCCGCGTCAAAGGACAAGCGGAACGTGGGATCTTCTTTGGTGAATCGGCCAAGAGCCTTGCTGAAACGTTCGAGATCATCCTTGCGCTCGGGCCGGATGGCGAGTGAGATGACCGGCTCGGGAACAAACATGGAGGTCTGCGCATCAACAAGCGAGCGAGCACGTTCAAAAATCCAATCCAAATGTAGTCGTCTCATGTGAGTACCATCCAGAGGCGGGGGGGGGGAGAAGGAAAGGAACACGAGAGGGAGGGGGAAGGCACTCACCATAGCCAAAGAGGTCGTGCCGTCAGTGAAGGTGTCGCCGGAGGCGCAGTCAACGCCAAACATGGCGCAAATCTGACCAGCGTGGGCTTCTTGGATTTCCTCCATCTCGTTTGCGTGCATCTGCACCAGGCGAGGGACCTTGATCTTCTTGCGATCACGAGCGTTCATGATAAACTCGCCGCGACGAATGCGGCCTTGGTAGACACGCAAGTACGTAAGCTGGCCAAAGCGTCCTGCGTTCCAAAGGCACAGGGTCACAGAGTCAAAGTGTCAGCGATACGATACAAAAAGGGGGAGGTCGAGTGAGAGGATCGGACAAGGAGGGGGGGGGGAAAAAAAAGAAAGGAAAAAAAAAAAGAGTTTAGCGCAGGCGAGTAACAAGTTTGGAACACGAGTCTATTAGAAGATAGAAACTGCTTTAGGCTCAGATGCTAGATTATCTCGTGAACCAGTGGCTCCCCTGCGAAAATGATGAGTTGGGCAATTTTGTTTTATGCCGATTCCCGAACGGCATCTCCTCGGTCTCTCTCTCTCACGAACCCCCCTCCAAAAAAACAGCCTCCGCTCACGAAAAAGACCCCAACCACTGTATCAATGAGGATTGAAAAGAAAAAAGGCGAAAGTCTGCCGCTTGAAAGGATCGGAGGGGGAAAAACGAGGTCATGACATAATCGGCAGGAGCTGACGTGTTGGCTCACCTTCTTCCAGCTTGAACGCCAGGCCAAGGAACGGCTCCTTTTCGAGGTTCTCGGGATGGACAAGCACCTTTTCGTTGTTGTTGTTGAGGTCAAGGGCGTAGTTTTTGATTTCGGTCGGGTTGGGCATGTAGGTCACAATGCTGTTGAGGAGCATCTGGACGCCCTTGTTCTTGAGCGCGGTACCGCACAGCACGGGAGTAAACTTGCGAGAGATGGTAGCACGACGAACGGCGGCCTGCGTGATGGAGGAGGAAGGGTGGGGAGAATGCGAGGAAGGGAACAAAGGGAAATTGTGAATTTGGCGCAGAATTCTTCACCCCCCCCCTGTACCACCGAGTATACTCACGCGAAGTTGGTCCGCAGTCGGCTCGACCTCGTTCAAAAAGAGCTCGCCCAGTTCGTCGTCGACGTCGGCCACGGCTTCAATCAAAAGTGCACGACGCTCGGCAATCACGGTGGCCAGCGCGGCCGGGGGCGCCTCACGACGGATGGTCTCGCTATTTTCATTGGAAAATACAATAAACGTGAGCTGGAATTTGCCCCAGGTCAAGCTGCAATGTATGTGAGCATGAGAAGAACCTGACGCTTACCCGAAAGTGCCCTCGTTGTAAAGCGCAACGTTGTCAATCAGATCGACAACACCAGTAAAGTTCTCTTCCGCTCCGATCGGGACTTGGAGCATGGCGGCATTGTGACGGAGCTTGTTACGGAGCTGCTCGCAGATCTTGAAGGCATTTGCACCAGGACGATCGAGTTTGTTGACAAAGGCGATGGCGGGGACGTTGTAGCGTTTCATTTGGCGGTCGACAGTCAGGGTTTGGCTCTGCAACAGACGGCAAAAAAAACGGTCGGGATGGGAGAAGGGCTGAGCATCAAGCGGCCGGACAAAGGCGTTTTTTGTTTTTTCGACAAACTCGACACCGATCAACTCACCTGAACACCACCCACGCCGCAAAGCACAAGGACGGCGCCATCAAGCACGCGCAGAGATCGTTCGACTTCAATGGTAAAGTCGACGTGGCCGGGGGTATCGATAATGTTAATGTTGTGATCCAACCAGCGAGTGTACGTGGCTGCCGATTGAATGGTAATGCCCTTCTCGCGCTCGAGATCCATGTGATCCATCGTGGCACCGACGCCATCGCGACCCTTGACCTGGACAGCGGGTGCATTTTGCAGCACCACCGAGAATGGAGCGGCAAAGTGAGTACGAAGTTCAACTGAGGGTTTTTTTCGTCCTAAATGACACCTTTGACATTGACAATCCAAATGCAACATGTCTTTGCTATTACTTCGTGAATCTCCTTGATGCGACCAGTGTAGAACAGAATGCGCTCGGTCAAAGTGGTCTTGCCCGAGTCAATGTGCGCCGAGATGCCAATGTTGCGCACACGCGCCAGATCGAACGACGCCGCGCCATCGGCCGAGCTGGCAACCGCACTCGTGGACAGTGCTCGGATCTGCGGGAGGGTACGGCAAAGCGAGTGAGAGTGAGATGTGAGATGAGAACAAGAGCCAAGACAGAGAGTGTGTGTGTGTGAACATTGCTGGGTCGATCTTCCCCCCCCCCATCATCCATGCACGGATCGCAGATCAGCCACTTGATTGCAGCACAGACATCACACGATTATGATGCAGCGCTGAGGGAGACGGAAGCTGGCCGACCGACGAAGGTGATGGCAAACATGTGCTGCGAGGCGCACATGGCAGCGAACCCCAAATCCTCAGTCCTCAGTCCAGCCGATCCGCTCCCTGGCTTTGTTGAAACTTACGCTGGAGAAGCAGACGGGTGCCGCGCGCAGAGCAGCAGCAGCGACAGCAGAAGTGGAAGGCGACGACGACGACGACAGCGGGGCAGCAGCAGCATTGCGGGCTGTGCACAGTCGCACCAAGCTCGCCAATGCAAGTCGCATCTTGAAGAAAAAGAGAGAACGAGAGAGGAAAACAGACTAAGTTCAATGAATCGGAAACATGAGACGACAACCAGCGACTTTCGCAATGAAATTCAGCCAAATGCTCGTGAATGTCAGATCTCCGAGATGGCCCACCATTGCCTACAGTCATTCAATTTTCATCCACATCCACATCCATATCCTTGTCTGAGCAACGAAGCCAGTCTTTTTTATTTTTCAACAAGTCGACAATGCGTTTTTCATTGTGTGCGCTCTTCCTCGTCGTCGCCGCTGCTGCCTTCGTCGCTGCTCCTGCTGCTTCCGCTGCAGCCAGCCACGATCGTCCTGCGCCGTTCATCATTGCGTTGGACACGAGCAACTTTGACGAGAAGGTCGCACATGGCGAGTGGCTGGTCGCCTTGTAAGCAGCTCGTCTCTCACGTCTCTCTCTATCTCTCTCTATCTCTCTCTCACTCGCCCCTCTGTCCCTACTCCTGGTGCCATCATGCTGCATACGCTTCTTGGCGTTGAATGCGCCTCTTCGTACTGCTGCTCGGGTCTCGTGTTTTGGTTGACTGACCTTCTGTTTTCGTTTCCATTGCGCTCTGATTTTTTCTGACGTGGACCAACCCTCGACTACGACCCTCGACTATCATGATGCTACTACGACTTCCTTCTACTGCTGGACAATACTCGTGCAACAAAATTATTTCCAACCGCCTTGGTTTGTAATTAAAAAAAAAAAAAAACAGCAAGGCCGACTGGTGTGGATACTGCAAGCGCCTGCATCCCGACTTTGAGTCGCTCGCCCGTGAAAGCATTATCAATGTTGGCGAGGTTGACATCTCCAAGAACTCTGGTAATTCATTCGCTTGGCTGGTGATGGTGGAATGGGGATTTGGCATTTTTTTGTTGTTTCAGTTTTGGTGATGCACCAACTTGCTTTGGTTTGCATCCCCATTTTTTGTTCAAACACACACAGCTCTCGCTGCCCGTTTCATGATCTCTGCGCTGCCTACCGTCTACCAGTATGTCGCGCGTGTTGTTATGTAGGTTTCAGTTTTTGTTCAACCCGACTCACCCGTCTCCCTTCTGTGCAGCATTGTGAACGGCGAAATTCGCACCTACACCAAGACCCGTTCGCTCAACGATATCCGCGACTATATCACTCGCGAGGAGTGGCGCAATGATGAACCCACCCCCTTCTGGAAGAGCCCCCTGGCCCCTCAGTGAGTCGCATATTTGCATTGTGTTCCCGTCTCCACACACGGTGAACTGATCATGTTTTCATTTCCACCTCTTCCGAGCAGCTTCCGTGTCCTCGGTCTGACTCTGAGCCTCGGTGCCATGGCACAGGTATGTGCATATGTTTTCTGAGGTTGTTTTGAGGTTGTTTTGCGCGCAAAAACTGACTCTTTTGATGTGTTGGACGACTTTCTCGTTTTCAGGACTACTACAAGGTTTTGACGGAGGACTACCAGTTCTCCCAGGCTGCTGTGATTGCCATCTTTGTTGGCGCAATCATTGCTGCTGGTATTGCCTTCTCGTTTGTGCTGCTCTTTATTATGGCGTTCGTTGACCTCATCCGAGGAACAAAGCCCGCACCTGCTCCCCAGCCGCGCGGCGCTACTGCTCAGACCACTGGCGCTCCTGCTCAGGCCGCTGCCACTTCGGCAGAGCCAGGTCAGCCTGCGCCAACGATTGGCAAGTCCCCTCGCACCAAAAAGATTGATTAAATTCAGGATGTGCCAAAGGTCCAATCTGAATAGTACAGTGCATTTTCTCGTCAAAATAGCGGAATGATACTGTAGTATGCCATCCACATCTTTTCAATACTCGTTTGTTTAAATTAGAACCACAGACACAAAGACACTTGAAACATCACAAAACGACAAACAAATAAGCAAACCATCAAGCAAACTACAAATCGACAAACGTCTTCATGGCGGCAGAAACCTGCGTCGCTTCATAGCCGGACTGGTCTGTCGGAACGTGGACAAAACCATGGCGATTTCCTGAATACATGACAATGCGCTGGTTGCGGGCTTGCAACAGCAATCGATCCAGCGGTCGCGACGAGGTGATTGAGAAGGACAACTGGCTTTGGAACAGCTCGCGCTGCACAATTGCAGTTGCACTCGCAGTAATCACATCGACAAACTCGTTCTCTGCCTCGGGTTGGCGGTGAAACAGCCCTGCACTCAATGGACTGTCGGGGCTGGCTTTCGCGCTCAGGTCTTCAGCGACATCGGAAGGAAGAGGAACATGGAAGCTGCTCTTGCCCACAATCTTGGCGTCGGTGAAGCCAAAGATGGGGACGAGATCGGTCAAAAAGTTCCTGCCATAGTAATGCCCGGACTCGAGGAAGAGCATCAGGGGCATCGGCGACGGCTGCTTCCCCGAAACGACGACTGCTTGGTTCATGCACAGCCCAGAACCCCAATCGCGAGTCTCAAACACCACGCGAGCCAGGGACGGGTAGCGGTGCTCGAGAATGCGTTCGACAGCTCCAGCGCGGTACAATCGTCGTGGCGAGCATACAGGGACGCGCTCGATCGTGCCACCGCCCATTTCTGCCAGGTCTCTCAGCCCAAGCGAGAGGCCTGCAGCGACACTGGCATCTCCATTCAATGTGGCTTCGACGCGAGCTTGAGCATGCTCTGAGAGTGGGAAGATCTGTCGGCCATACACTCCAATGACCAGTTCCTTCTGCGCATGCTCCATGCGCAAATAGCTCTCGACGTGCGCTTCGAGCTCGGGGAATGGACACTCCAGAATGTCGTCCAACAAGTCATCCTCGACCAACGGGACCAATGGGAGCGAGGAAGAATCTTGCTCGGCAGTCGCACCATTGTGCTCCATGCAGGCGACAACGGAAACACCAGAAGTAGCGGATGCGGTTGCAAACTGTGCCTCAGTGTAAACTGAAGCTGCCTGCAAGATCTCGCCCAGGAAATGCTGGTATGTGCGTGAGGCGAGGATGTGCCGCTGGGCGTTCAAAGTCAGCGCCTCGCGCTGCACCGAGCTGGACAGGCGCTTCAACGCATCCGAAACGGAATCAGCCGAGTCAGCCTCAACAAAGCCGTTCGAACCAAGGACTTGTCGCAGCTCGTCCACTGAAGCAGAGTCAGCAATGATGGCGGTGCCTGCCATGACCGCGTGAACGGCTTGGCTCAGGTGCTGGTGTGACTGCTGGCCGACGACCAGCCCTGTTTGGAACTGCCGCAACGTAGAATTCGTCTCTTGTTGCAACGGCAGAGGGTGCAGCGCCGTCACCAACTCTTTCGGCACGACCGCAGTTGCATCGCCAAAAATCACCAGACCATGCTCCACGGCTGGAGCCAGCAAGGCGGTCGTGCTTGAGGGATACTCTTGCAAGGAAGCTTCAGGCCCAAAGAAGACGCTCTTGCCAAGCTTTGGACGCCGAGAGCCGGTCGGGTTGTGCACAAGGTGCTGAATCGGGTGCCACGCTCGGTGCACCGGGACCTCAGATGCTTTCAGCAGCGTGGCGTACTCGGCTTCAAGGACCTTGGTCGTGACAAAAACTGCACTCGCCATTTCCAGAGTCTTTTGGTGGGGTTGAAGGGTCGGCAGCAGCGATTCGGCCGATGCACGAGCGTCCCAAAACACGAACGGCACGTGCATGTCGTGTGCCATCAAAACAAGTTCGCTGATGTCGGCACCAAACGCCTCGAGCGGGTCCTCCAAGTCATCTGCAGCAACCAGCAGCAAGTCGAACTGGACATTTTTGAACAGCTTGCGCCAACTTGCTTTGGTCAGCGGGACAACCTGGCTGTACAGTGCGATCGCCGACTTGAGCTCCGAGCTCATCCACACTGCAATGTTCACCTTGAGCGGGTTTAGCGGAGCGATGGGCTGCCGCAGCGTCGGAGTAGCCTTGATCATCTCCAAACCAAAGTTGGCCTGCCATTCCGTCTCTGACGCGACCACGGTTGGGACGCCGGGTGGCAGCATCATGCCAAAAGCCGCATGCACGCATCGCTGCAGCGCAAATCGATTGTTCGCTTCTTGAAGATAGGGTGTGACAGTGGACGCAATCAGTCGAGCTCGTTTCGCGCCCTCGACTGCCATGAAGCTGGCATCCATTTGGAGAATCTGCTGAGCAGCTTCTTTCGGTGTATTAAAGTGCAAAGCGGTCGGGTAGATGTGCTCCGAGCCGTTCCAATTGCGGACAACAGGAATACTTCCAGCCGCCATGCCCTCTGCAACTGCTTGATGGCTACCCTCATAGTCGGACGTGGACAAGATGTAGCCAACATTCTCAAACCACTCTGGGGCAAATACCTGAGAGGTCGAATACTGCACAGCAGACTCCAATCCGAGCTGCGTGATGTTCTTGGCCAAGTTGGTGTAGAAGGCGAGTTCCTCTGGTCGCCTCATGAGCCAGTCGAACGAGTAGGGGCTCGAGCCGGCAACCATCAAAGTCCAGGTCGGATCAGTCTGGCGCAACTCGACGAGGATTTCGACCGCCAAGTCAGCTCGCTTCATAAGAGGCACATAGCCAAGCAGACCGAGAGTCCGCAAAGCGCGGCTGGTTTTGGGACGAAGAAAGCCTTCGGTGTCGACGGAGTTGTACACCAATTCGACCTGGACAGTGGCGTTGGCAGGCAGCCACTGCTTTGCAGAGGCGTAAATCCAGGGAGTAATCACAATCAAGCGGTCGACGCGGGACCAGTTGACAATGGGGATGAACTTGGTGACCAATTCCTGACGGTGAAGACGAACAACCAAAGTCTTGTGCAGGGCCAAATTGTCGGCATACCAGACGGCATTGCCAAGTGCCCATTCGCACCAGACGACATCCGCCCACTCGGCGAGCTCCTTGCTCCGAGTTTCGTTGTGCCCGGTGTGTGATTTCCACATGTCCAGTTCCACCTCGACGTCGCTGCGCTCGCGAAATTGCTCAATGATTTGGGTTGCAAACTTCAAGTCGTGCCCTGCAAAAAGAACGCGAATGCGCCGGTGGAGCAGTGTTGGTGCTTCTGGGGCCGAGAGAGCAGCAGGATTCTGCGAACGGTAAGGATTGACCATGCCGAAAACGGTAGTCGCGACGGACGAGAAAAAGAACGGCTCGGCGCGCTTTCGCACGTGTGCAGACATTTCGGCAAGAAGGTGGCGATTCGCAACCATTTGTCCCATTGCGACAGACAAGGTTTGAACATCAATCTCGCTAAACTCGACTTGTCCCTCGGGAAGCGGGTCAGTCAAAACCGGGCCGCCATCGACGGTCAGGAAGAATGGGTAGTCGACTCCCAAGAAGCTCTCGGTCGCCGGCGAGCGATTCACAAGCACAGGGAGACCGTTGGCTGCGTACTCGATCAGCTTGGTGGACAGCTCGTGGCCAGAGTCGTGCCGCATCCAACGAAGGCCGACATCGCACTCTGTTCGCAAAATGCGCGCAACTTCGGTTCGGACAAGTCCCGACCTGACCTCAATGTGTGGAGCGGCAGCGTCCATGCGGTCGGAGAGCTGCTGTTGGAATGCGGCGTCGCCCTTCACCTTGCTCACCATCAGGAGCATTGAGACCTTGGTGGTCGGATTTTGACGCAAAAACTCTTGAAAGCCTGCGACCAGCTCGAGCGACATGTACAGCGAGTCTGCCTTGCCAGAATAGCAAAACTTCAACGGCCTGTCGGTTGACTGCAGGTCGGCGCGCGAGGTCATGGCGACGCTAGGATCGGGGACCATCGGTGGGATGACGACAGAGCCATGAGGAACACCATAGTTCTCCTCTGAGAATTCGCGCATGTGCGGAGTCGAGAAAACCAAACGGGCAGGCGACTGGACAATTTCGCGGAGTTGCGCAACCTGCTCTTCTTTGATGTCGCTCACAAAGACGACAGATGTGCGGCGCGCCATGTTGGGCTCTCGTGCCAGCAGCTGCCCAACGTCCAGGCCGCGGACGAGGATGAGATTGTACTCTTCGCGAGCGTCAAGAGCGCGGATGACCTGCATCGCTCGCGCAGGTGTCAGCCGTGGTACTTTTGCAGCCATTGTTTGACCACCCATGTGCGCAAGGTTCCAGGCGTCCATCAGGCGAATGCGCCCCTGTTTGAGGAGAGGCTGCAGCGTGGTAGCGACAGGAGAATTGTCAATGAGCGAGTTCAAGTGCGTGTATGGCTGAAGGGGTGTCGTGTCGACGTACGAGCCTTCGCCCACGGTCTGGTTGACTGCTTGGGCTTCTCGCATCGCCTTGGTCGTGACCAGCGGGTTGGTCAGGAGAATGTCGACATGGACGTCGCAGTTCGGTGGCATCAGGAGCACGGTAGCGAGAGAGACCAGCCACGCGCTCGAGCCGTCAATCAAGTTGACACTCATTGGTCCGAACAGTAAGACATGGGTGCGTTGTTGCTTGGAATGGAACGACTCCCACGGCGAGCAGGTCGTTGGCAAGGATGTGGCATCGCGAGGTCCGGGTGGTGAGGCGACTGGCTCCTTCCAGAAGAGCGGCGTCATCGATTCGACAACTTTATTGTCGTCTGGTGAGGGCCCATGCAAGCGGCCGGCCTGGAGCCACTCGGGGAGCGTCTGATTCGCATCTTGAAGCCAGGGCGTGGACTCTTGCCACTTTTCAACCGCATCAAGCAGTGCAGCAATCACAGGCGAAGATGCTTCGGGCTCGACACCCGGACGATCTGAGTCTTGGGTAGATTCTTGTTCTGTGAGCGAATGGAGACAGTGTGAGTCGAGGGAGGCGGACCGACAATTGCGAAAAACAAAACGAACTGTCAAACTAATCAGATCTGATGAAGCTCAAGCAGGCGCAGGCGCAGGCTTCGGTCTAAGGGGCCAACAAGGAGTGCATGTCATGTTGACATGTCGACGTACCTTCGTTTGGAACATACGTCTCTGACGTGCTGGGCAGAAGCAGGTAGAGCGACAACAAGAAGACGAGAGGCACCACAACCCATGCTCGCCGCATGGACAGAGTCTGTCGCAGCCACTCGCCCCGAAGGAATTGAGCCTGTTGTGGTGTGCGATTGCTTGCATTGAGCGGGAGTAGTGGTCGCGCCGAAGTGTCCATTGTATGGCGTTCGACAATGTTGTGGTGTGTTTTACAAGACACGAGTCTCTCAGAAACGCATTGAACGACTGGTGACCACCCACAGTCGGACCGATTTGTTTTGTAGTATGTACATCTCGAATACTCAATCTGGTTTGATTTTGAAGGGAAAGCAACGAAATGCCAGATGTCTGTCTGGCTGTTGGTTGTTGAAAACGATCGCCTCGCTCTGACCGCCTCGCTTGACCATGAATCAGCATTGAACGGTTTTATTTATGCATATAGGGGTAGGGGAGCAAAGCCACAAAAGGGGCTCATGTTCCAAGCAAACCGGAAAAAAGAAAAAAAAAGGGAAAACGACAAGATACAGAATGTTTTGAAAAAAAAAAAGCAACAGACAAACGAAAAACCCAGAATCAAACCGTTGTTCGAGCATCCTCTCTCTCTCTCTCTCTCTCTCTCTCTCTCTCTCTCTCTCTCTCTCTCTCGAATAAGAGTAGAACAGCAACAGCAACAGGATTAACAGCAGCTCGGAACCTCGAGCACCTTTGTTTCCGGTTTTGTGTTATGATGATGATGATACGAAAAATCCAAAAGCCTACGGGCCGAGTCACACCTGGCCGCTAACAGCAAGTGCAACGGCAGGCTTTTGCTTGTACGTTCGTCGGAACTTTTCGTCGACAAAGTCCAAGTACCAAGTGCCCGGGAAGAGGTGGTCGACGTTGCCGACGGGGGCGTACTTGGTCAGGTTGTGAGTCTCCTCGCGCAAGTGCATGAGGCGGTCGAAATCTGCGGGGTCCACAACAATGCGCGAGTCGAGACGCGGCTTGACGTCGCTGAGGCCAGTGGCAATGGTCTCAGGGGCCGAGACAAAGCGGAGCGAGAACATGGATGCGGCCAAGCCAGAGCCGTACGAGAACATGATGACGCGCTTGCCAACAAGCTCTGCGGGGCTTCGTTCGACGAGGAGAGAAACAAGGCCGCCATAGAGCGAGCCAGTGTACATGTTGCCGAGCTGCTTGGCAAGGAGAACGGTGGGCTGGGTCTTTTCGGCGTACGTCTTCTTGCTTCGCTCAAGGAAGGCAGACTCGAGCTCACGGTCAAAGTACGAGTCCTCCGGCTTGGTGGCAGCAAACTTTTCCAGACCGGCAAACTTGGGGTTTTCGGGAGTGCGACGGAAATCGTTGAACATGATGCGGCCAAGCGACTTTTGCACGAGCTTGTTGAAGGGCGAGTGGAAGGCCACGAAATCGGTGCTGTCGAGCGAAAAGTTCTTTTCGCCTTGTGCCTCCGCGCGAGCGGCGTAGCGGTTGTAGCAGACATCGACCGCCTTGAGGTAGAGCTGGACGGAGAGCTTGCCGTCGACCTCGGGGTACTCGGACTCGAGCCGCGGCTTGTAGAAATCGTAGGCGTGCTCCATGTGCGTCGAGCGAAGACCCGACTCGAAGACGATCGGGGCGTTGGGACCGACAAGCATGGCGACGACGCCAGCGCCACCGGTTGGGCGAGCGCTGCCGGACGCGTAGACGGCAATGTCGCCGGCAACAACCAGCGCAAAGCGGCCGTCCCACGAGCGGCTCTCGACCCAGTTCACGGCGTTGAACAGGGCGTTGGTGCCGCCATAGCAAGCGTTGGTGGTGTCAACGCCCTCGACCTCCGAGTTGCCGCTCTCCTCAAACAGGCGCATCAAGACGGACTTGACGGACTTGCTCTTGTCGACAATGGTCTCCGTGCCGACCTCGAGGCGGCCAATGGCAGTGTACGGGACGTTGTACTTGGTCATGAGCGACTGGACAACGGTGAGGCAGATGGAGTGAATGTCCTCGCGGTCTGAGCAGAACGCCATGTTGGTCTGTCCGAGGCCGACCGTGTACTTGCCAGCGCCGGCGTTATCGAATGTCTCTGTGGGAGAGTCGAGAGACGTTAATGGGGGAAGGGGGGGTGAGAGAAGGGTTAGGACGGCCTCACTTGCTTCCATCGAATGACATGGACTAGAATTTTGCTTACCAAGAGCAGTCTGGTTGACGCAGGTGCCTGGGAAGTAAACGTCGAGGGCGAGGATGCCAACGTTCTCTGGGGTTGCTGGACGCGAGCCTGGGACCACGACGGTGGGCGGCTGGATGGTGGACGACGACGACGACGTTGACATGCTGGCAAGAACAGGCGCAAGGTGAGCTGCGAGTGCGTCAGGCGCAACAACGGACGTGCGGACGTCGATCAGCGAGCGGTGATTGTATGTGTGTGCCAGAGCGAACGGCGTTGGTGGTGGTGGTGGAGCGCTGGTCATCACTTTGGTGAGAAGAGTGGTGTAGTGTATGTGCGCTCAGAACCAGCTCAGAACCAGCTCAGAACCAGCTCAGAAACACAATCAAGCAAGTTAGAAGGGGTTGCTTCTAGCTATGTTGTGATGATGAGGTTGGCTGATGGCGGGGTGATGGATGAATGAAGAGGGACAGTTCCGATGCTAAAAACAGCTCGCTGATGCAAGTGCAGCAAAAAGCAAAAAAGCAGGAATGGATTGGAAATCACATTCAATGCTGAACAACAAATGTCGTTTGTTTTTTTGCGTTTTACCACACAAACGCATAAAAAAAATAAAAGACTCACGCCATGTTGATGCCATTCAGAACGAAAAAAAAACGCGACAGTCGACCAAATATTGCTGTTTACTTTCCCAAACTCATTCTGTCTCTCTTGTCTCTCTCTCTCACACTCACTCACTCTTGGTCTGATTGCGCTTGTACAATGCTACTTTGTTGCAGCAGACCACTCTTGATATCGAGTTGGGATTGCTCCGAACCACCCAACCAACAGTCAGAGAAATGGGAAAACAAAGAAGAGACGCGCGTGTGTGGTGTGATTTTCGACCACTCGAAACTCGATGCCTTTGACCTCAAAGCGTTCTCTTCTCTTCTCTCTCTTTCAGCTGGAGCTGTCGATTCGGGTGCTGAGTTCCACCGAGGCGCGACATGTTGCACACACACACACCAACAAATCAAGACGAAAGACATGTCGTCTTTCTGATGTTCGTGTTGCGTCCATTCAAAAAGAGGCGAAGATTTTCGGTGGTGGTGTGATTGAAACACAAAAAAAAAAAATCCATAAAGTCGCCCCACTTCGCCCGAAAAAAAAAAAAAACATCGAACGAGGTGCGATCGCATCATGAGAAACAGTGGAGAACAAAAGGGGGAAAGGCACGCAATGCAACGACCACCGAGAGAGAGAGAGCGAGAGCGAGAGCGAGACAGAGAGCGAGACAGAGAGCGAAGTGCTGCGTTTGTTGCCATTGTCGGCGTTTGAGCGGCAAAAATCCAAAAACCTCGAACCACTTTTTTTTTTTTTTTTTTTTTGGGTGAGTTTTTTGCATTGCTGTGTTACCGTTCAAGGATTGTGTATTTGACACGAAAATAAAAGACTGGAAAAGAATCAAAATGGAAACTGAAGAAACTGAAACGTCAAAACGCCACTCTTTTTGTTTTTTCCTATCATTTCGAGAATGAACGTAATCACAAAGTCGTTGTTCTCGTCCAAGATGGACTCGATCGGCAAAGAGCTCGGATTCGGTGGCGATGATGATGAGGTAAGCGTCTATGTGAGCGTTTTGGCTCAAGAGTGACGTTGAGCAAGGTTGGGTGCAGGGACGTATGGAAATGAAAGGTCTGCGCCACTTCTACACTTCAATCATGCATGCAGCCACATTTGCATCTAAAGGAATTCAATGGACGAACAAAACAGCACGACATATTGCGGTGGGAGATGGCGGGGGGGTGGGGAATACTCGGGGTGTAAAGCGTGGTACCCGACGACCTCGAGTGCAGAACAGAGTGCAGCGCCGCCGTGCAACCTACACACACACACAATCTCCAACTGCTGCACATGTTGACCTTTTCGAGTCTACCTACTTGCCATTTGCACAGGACAAGTCCAGCGACCGGCCCGAAACCGAGGCCGAGCGCCAAAAGCGCATCGACGAGGAGAAGGAAGACATGGCCGCTGCCAAGGCCAAGCGCCAGCAAAAGTCAGACGCCATCAAGAAGGAGCGTGAGCAAGAGCGTGATCGCATTCGCGCCAAGTACAAGCTGAAGGGCCCCGAGCCAAAGGAGGCCCAGCCCGCAGCCCAGACCAATCCCGGTGCTGCGTCTGCTTCCTCCAGTTCCCAAAGCACCGGCACTGGCGCTGGCGCTGGCGCTGGGAATCCTAATAATGCCAACAAGGATTGCATTCTCATGTAGTCCTCCATCTGTATAATATATAATGCTTCCGTTTTCAATGTTCGTCGCACCCCCCCCCCACCAATGCCCTTTTGCATGTGGCGGGTTTTTTGAAAAACGGAATTGGCAATGGAACAAAAAAACCAAAAACAAAGACAACAATTGCACAACAAGGACCGACCGCGCGGGACACGACACACGGCAAAACAAGGGAATTGAAAAATGAACACAACAGAGGAAGAAAAAAACAGATCGCTGCGTCTCTGCAACACACCCTCCCCCTCGTTTAAGGCTCGACAGTCTTGTACTTCTCCTCGAGCTGTGCCTTGTACTTTTGGGTGGCGTTGGGACGACGGAGCTTGAAGGTAGGGGTGAGCAGGTCGTTCTCGACAGCGAAAGGCTCGCTCTCGACAATGATACCCTTGACAAACTCAAAGCCCTTAAGACCCTCGGCCTTGCCGACGGCAGTCATGTCGTCGAGGACCATCTTCTGGACGTCGGCGTTGGCAGCGAGGGCGTTGAGGTCCTCGGACAGGCCCTGCGACTTGGCCCACGGCTTGATGGTGTCGGGGTCGAGCACAACAACAGCAAGAAGGGTGGTCTTGAGCGAGTTGCCGTAGACAAAGACTTGCAGAATCCACTTGGACTTTTGGAAGACGCCCTCGAGGAACTCGGCAGCAACGTACTCGCCTTGGGCCAGCTTGAAAATGTTCTTCTTGCGGTCAATGATGGAGAGCGAGCCATCCTCGTTCCACATGCCGACATCGCCAGTGTGGAACCAGCCGTCAGCATCGAGGTCCTCGGCGGTCTTCTTGGGATCCTTAAAGTAGCCCTTGAAAACGTTGTTACCGCGAATCCAGAGCTCACCGCGGGGGTTGGGCTTGTCGGTCACAAAGTAGTTCATGTCCGGAACGTCAGTCAGCTTGTACTCGTTCACGGCGAGCGGGGGGCCGACGCGGCCGAGGAGGGTGTCGTTGTAGTTGGTGATGGCGGAGGCGGCGCAAGTCTCAGTCAGACCGTAGCCCTGGAAGACGACGGGGCAGAAGCACACGCGCAGGAACTCGAGCACCTTCGAGTCAATCGGGGCAGAGCCGGTGATCATGTAGCGAACACGGCCGCCGAGAATGAGCTTCATCTTGTCAAAGACGAGCTTGTTCCAGAAGGGAGTGTCCTGGCCGTGCTTGAGGGCGTGACGGCGGGCTGCGAAGGCCTTGGTGAAGAGAGTGAGCTTGACACCACCGGCAGCAGTGACAGTGTTGACCACGCGGTCATAGAAGCGGTTGAAGACACGGGGCACGCCGCAGAAGAGGGTGGGCTTGAGCTCCTGGATGTCCTCGGCAAGCTTGGGAATGGCGCCCTGGAAGAAGCCGATCGACGCGCCGACGCGGAGGATGGTGCCTTGGACGGCACGCTCGAACGAGTGGGCAAGCGGCAGGAAGGAGAAGTGGACGTCGTCAGTGTTGAGGGCGACGCCGTGGAACAAGACCGCGTTGATGGTCGAGATAAAGTTCTTGTGGGTCAGCATGACACCCTTCGGGTCGCCAGTGGTGCCAGACGTGTACATAATGACAGCCAGGTCGTCCTGCTGGGGCGGGCGGTGCGGGGCGGGGTTGGCCTTGCCGAGCTCGAGAATCTCCTTGAAGGTGTGGACAGTCACGTTGTGCTCCTTGGCGCGGTTGACGGTCGCCTCGTCGGCACCCTCGAATGTGACAATGTACTTGAGCGACGGGACGCCGCCGTCAATCTTGAGCGCGTCGAGCACGGCACCAGCCTTGTCGGCCGAGCAGAAGACGATCGGGAGCTCGGCGTGGTTCATGATGAAGCGGACGGCGCCAGCACCAAGAGTGTCGTACAGAGCAACGGTGGGCAGCGAGTAGGCGTTGCAGGCCTGCTCGACAAGGACCCACTCGGTGCGGTTGATCGAGTAGATGCCGACAGGGGTTTGCGCGGCCAGGCCGAGGTGGACGAGGGCCGAGCCGACCTCGGTAGCGCGAGCGGACGCGGTGGCTAACAAAGGAGAAATGGAAATACGAACAAAACGTGAGCAAACCCTCACTTACGACAAAACAACCCAAGTCAGCAAACATTTGAGATGGAAATGGTTACCGTAAGAGATGAACGAGTAAGCACCGCGGGAGCCATCTTCCTTGGTAATGCGGGTGCCGAGGCAGTCGGCAGTGCCGTACTTTTCAACAGAGTTGCGGAAGTTGTCGTACAGGGTGGTCAAGTGAGCGTCCTGAATGCCGAGGAGGTTGTCTGTTAAAGCAAGCACGAGTGATTTTTGGTGAGCGATTGAGCTTTGAGCGCTTTTGTTGTTTTTCCTCACACCACGGTGCATGATGAATACATGCAACAGCTCATCCATTCCACACAGAAAATGGAGCAGGAGCAATTTGCGAAAAATTGGATGACAGCCATTCCGAGCGCAACGTGAGCAAACAAAAACGGCTCAGTAAAAAAAAAAATTAATAAAAAAAAAATAGAACGAAAGAATGGCAATGCATTGGGATGGTGAAAAAACAGCGCAAGCCACTTGACACTGAGGCTGAACTCGAGACGGCATCAAAATGACGCCAAAGGAAAACAAAAAGAACAAAGACGGAGACGGAGAAGACAAAGGGGGGGGAAGATCAGAGATGGAATAGCAATGGAATGGCAGTCACAGTGGGGCGGGAGACTCGCCCGGAGAAAAAAAAAAGCCGTTCCAAACCGAACTCCCCCGACGCGCCTCAGTGTTCTCGCGGGGCTTCTGTCTCCTCTCGGAGCGGGGAGGTGGGAGGGCAAGTCGCTGCACGTTACTTGCTTTTGCTTTGCTTCACTTCCACAAGCACTGCTCATCCCGAGACTCAACGCACGATTTCAACACGTGCAGCAGCCGCATCGTTCCGTGCTTTCGGCTTTTTTTTTCTTTTTTTCTTTTTTTTTTTACGGTTTGAATCAGCACGGTTTGACCGCTCCGTTGACTGCTGCTCTTCCCGCCGCCGCCGCCGCTGCACCCTAACAGACAAGGACGCATGCCTTGTTCATCCTGCATATGCAATAGCCAGCGAGACACAGAATGATCGGCGCACAGCGAAACGGCAATCACAAAAAATCCAGATCTCGATGCTTTTTCCTCCTTCCTCTTTTTTTTTTTTTTTTTTTTTGGTTTTTTGGTTGGTTTTTTCGTTGCTTCAAGCCCAGCCCTCCTGTCAGGATGCAGTCAGCGAGACAGACGCTCCTCATTCCAAAACAGCGTCGCTCTGGCACACACTTCCACCCGCTCGAAGCGGCTTGGGGTGCAGACGTGCTGATGAAAAAACGTGGCCAAAAAGTGTGCAGCAGCGTTCTTGTGATTTTTTTGGCCGTTACCTTTGGCAGAGGGAACGCGGTGAGCATCCGCGCCCCAGTTGCCGCCATCGACAGCAATAGTCTGCTTGGCGACAGAAGGGTCGGAGGGGTTGGGGAGGTGAGACTGGCCGGCGCCCATTGTTTTAGTGTTACTGAAATTCACAAATAAAAAAAAAAAAGGAATGGCTTTTTCTTTTTCTTTTTTCTTTTTTTTTTTTTCTTTTTAACTTTTGCTCCACTTTCTTCCTTTTTATTGCGCATCAGTCCTGGTCCAATCTCCTTTAAGGAGTGCTTCGATGACCGTGAGAGGACGAGAGTGCAGTTGCCGGCCAGCCGAGGGTCTGAGGAGCACGGGCGGGGCGGAGACCAGCAGCTCGATTTGTTTTGTTTTACTTTCCAAATTCAAAAAAAAAAATTCAATTCGAATTGTGCCACCCAAAATCAACAAACAAAAAGTAAAGCAAAAAAAAACACACGCACACACAAAACCGTTGGGCAGGAACAGGCCAGCGTGATGCTCGCATCAGGAAGGACGCGGAAGAGGAGAAAACTGAAGGGAGCGAGTGCAGGGGAGGGGGGGGTTGCTGCGTCGGTTCTGCAGCGACGTGAGGGCGCGGCAGTTTGTGCCATGAAAATGCAAAAACAACAAAAAGGGGCTGGTGCCTGTTCCACCCTTCGGGGCGCCCTGCCAACCACCGCCATTTCTAGCACGAAAAGAGGCACGTGTGTATCGACAGGAGGCTGGGCAAGTTTGTTGCTCGGAAAGGGAAAGAAGGGTTGCGCGTCGACAAGGGTTTGCCAAACACTCACAGCCCAGTTCTGGCTTGCAGCGTACGACACCAATGCGCGATCTGCATACACAGCGATTGTGCTTTTGTGAGTGCTGGGGAATCTGATCGCGCGGCGTGTATCACCCGATGCGCAATTCTTGTATCTACTGGCGGCAAAACATCAGAAAAGTTTGCATGTTCGACTTCGACTTGCTTTTTCACGATTTGCAACTTCAATCGGTCTCGCTCTATTATTGCATCACTCAGCGTGTTGTCGTCAACAACATTGATCAATTCAAGACGCACAGCTCCCCTACAACCTTGCGTTCAAAGGCGTTCTGCTCCAAATTCAACAGTTTCGGCAATAAATGGACAATCGTGCTTGTCCACGAACCTCGTGTGATTCTGAAGAAACTCTGGCAGGTCCGACGCAGCATTTGACTTGGCGCATCTATCCGCCAGATGAATGCTTTGATTGAAATCTGTGGTGGCTTTGCGGCCTTCTGTTCCTCCTGCCTAGAACCGTGGTGGTGCGTGCATGTGCCAAACAATGTGTACGAGGGAGCAGCTAGTCCAAACGGATCGGAGCCTTGGGGCAGCGAAGCGTCAAAAGCATGTTTTAACCGCTCCGAACGCAATTCGCCCGAAATTTCGGGAGCATGTTGTTTGGCATCCGTGGGAGAATTGTGGAGAATTTTGGAGAATTCTCGCACTTCCCGTCCCAAGACTCACCTCAAGCGCGCAATTAGAATCACATTTTTGGGGCGCAACACGCCTCACCCGAGCGCAGATCTACTCACGGATGGCGAGCGGTTGCCCGTCCTCGCTGTCGCCAAGCATCATCGTCGCTTGTCGTTCCAACAGCGGCTCCAATCCGACTTGACGATAGACCGCCTCAACACAAGCAAAGGTCTCCTGATCAAGATCAAGGAATGGCACTCGTGTGTTGTGGTCAAACTGCGGATAAATACAAGGCAAATAAATGCAAAAAGTACAACAATAAAAAAAGTTGCCAAAACAAACAATTTGTTGTTTGTGATTCGCAAAGCGGCCCGCGAATCCGGTGCCACCAGCATCAACCCTTTCCAGTGCCCGTCCTGTTGACGCAAGTACAACAAGGCAACGGTGGCAGCAAGTGGTGAGTTTGGCAATGGTTGCGACGCTGGCAACTAGGTGGTGGTGGCAAGCTCGTCTCGGCGTAGATTTATTTGGCGATTCTTTTCGTCGGCAGATCAGTCTTTTATTCCCCCGCATTCAAACATGAATCAACCGACCGTTTTCTCGTTGCTGGTAGCAATCACGATCGCGGCCACTGCCTCCGCTGCCTGTTTCCCGCCGAATGAACGCCGTGAGTGCACCATGACGCGATTTGTGTTTGTGCGTGCGTGTGCATGTGCACATGACCTGGAGGGGTGCTGAGGGTGAGGCGAAGAACGCTTGAATCATTGGCAAAATATACCGTGGTACGTCGATTGAAGAAAACATTGCCTGTTCGGTCGAGCGAAAAACCATTTAAAAAAAATTGGTGTGTCATGTTTACTCGTCAAATTCCAGCCAGCTACTTCGCCTGCTTGACCAAATTTGTGTGTGCGTGTGTACGTGTGTCGAGGAGAGTGCTGAGGGTGCGGCTCCTCGTCGAGTCAGTGCCCAAGTTTACAGGGTGACATCGAGCGATCAAATTAAAAAGTCGGGCCGAAAAGTGTCACCGTCTGATCATCAACAATCCCCCCCCCTTTCCAAAACCGCAGCATTTAGCCGCGAGATTAGGCAGCGGATATTCTTTGACTTTTGGTTTTTATTTTAATGTTTGATTCTTTTTCCCATCTTGACTTGTTGTTAGTTGTCTGAAAATGAGTCATTGGAAATTCACCCGTTTCGCTTTTTGCTTCAGGCGCGCTCCGCACGGACTTGGCACCCCTTCGGATCGTCTCCAACGCCTGGAATTCCTCGATGATCAGTGCGACAATTGCTCGCATCATCCTTGAGGTGAGTGACCGAGTCGAGTCGTCGCGTGAGGTGGAACAATTGCTCACCTGCTCCCTGACACCCGACCAAACACCCCTCACCACGCCCTTGCAACACCCTTGCCACCCTTGCAAACACAGGAGAAGCTTGGTCTGCCGGCGCAATTGTATGGGATGTACGGCACTTACGATGAGTCATTCGCCGCTTTATCCAGCGGCGCCGGAGACTTTCTTATGGAGGCGTATCCCAAGTACACCCAGTACCTGATTGACGAATTTGTGACCGACCGTCGCACCGTCGTGTATGGTACGGATTCATCTACAGCGCGAAATGCGCGCACTTTGAAGTCATCTCACTCTTTCTGTTTGTTTTTTTGTTCCATCTTCCAGTCGGCCCGTCAGGCATCATTGGCGAGACAGGCTGGTACATCCCCGAGTATGTCTGGGAAGTTAGCACAATCACGGACAGCTACATTGCATACTAGTGAGTGTCTCTTGCTTGTGCCGAGTCGGTCGGAGCAGTCATTCTCATTCTGTGCTCTCTTTTTTTTTCGCAAACAACAGCGATGAGCGCATCCAAGCAATGTTCCGACTGAATACGATTCCAGTGGGCTTTCAGCTTGACAACACTACTCTTCGCAGTGCTGTGGACGACATCGATCTCATTCTTGAGAGCCCTGCATGCAATGCTGCACTCAATGCGTCGCTCGTGGCGGCGGACTGCACCGCCACCGTCGAGGCGTTCTTGGAATTGCTTCGTGTGCGTGCCAACTTGGAGGATCACGGCACCCCAATCCCTCTTTGGACCATGCCTGACGCGTGGGGCACGCTTGACCGCGTCATTGTGCAAAACCTGAGCTTGAACTTTAACGTCACCTGCCCCGTCTCCCAAACGCTCGGCGTTGATGAAACAATGGATGCAATGGTTGCCGTGACCAGGGTTGCCTACATTGCCCGCAAGCCGTTCATCCAGTACTGGACCAAGCCGCACTACGTCTTTGCGGACAGCTCTCCTGCTCGTCTTCATCGCGTGCAGCTGCCCGAGTTCGACTTGAGCTGCAACGTCTGTAAGTTCACAACGCCCTTGCAGTGAGGGAGCCGGTTGAAGTTGTAGATGCTTTGCTCACCCGCCCGCCCCGATCTGAATTGACAGCAAGCTCAGCCTACCGTTGCGGATACGAGAACGAGCGTGTGCTGAAACTGATGTCCTCCAAGCTGGTTGCCAAAAACTCGGTCGCCGCCTCTTTTGTCGATCATTTTACTTACACCTCCCAGGATCAGTCGAACATTCTTGGCCAGATGGTCTTCAATGGCAAGAGCCTCGAAGAAGCAACCTGCGAATGGGTCATTGCCAACTACGCGGCCATGGAAGCCAACATGCCCGATCCTTCGCTGCTTGTCACACCCACCGAGGTTTCCCCGGCTCTGCGCATTGCGTTTATCGTTGTTGCCGCGGCTGAATTGGCAATCTTCGTCCTCTTTGCGTTTGGTGTCGTTCACTACCGCCGAGTTCGTGCCGTGCTCTCCGGCAGCCCCAAGTTCCTCGTCCTCATGCTTCTTGGCGCCTCTTGGTCAATGTTTTGGGTCATCTTGAGCTATCAGGAGGAAGTCACCCCGAATCTGTGCATTGCTCGCGTGTGGGCTCGCCACCTTGGATTTGCCATCATCTTTGCCGCCATCTTCCTGAAGACTTGGCGCATTGCCAGCGTGTTCAACATCAAGTCCAGCAAGGGTGGCCAGTTGACCGATCGCGTCTTGCTGTACCGCTTTTTGCTCATCGTGGGTTACGCCACCGTCAACCTGGTCGCGTGGTCTGTCTCCACCCCTCCCACAACTGGCACCGTCGTATCCAACAATGAGAGTTACCTTGTCTGCAAGGTCACTTGGTGGGACAACGCCATCTACATTGAAGAGCTTGTCGCCATGGTTGCTCTTGGCTTGCTCTGCTACCGCGTTCGAAAGGCGCCGTCCGCCTTCAACGAGTCCAAGCACATTGGCCTTGCAGTGTGCAACTGGATTATTATGGGCATCATTTTGCAAATCATCCTCAACTCTACGACTGGCACTGCCGACTTTTTCTTTGCCATTCAATCGCTCGAGGTTCTCGTGCCCGTTCCGATTGCTGTGATGATTTTGATGGCGCCAAAATTCTACCTAATCTTGCGCGGCAAGGGCAACGACGTTGCTACCAGCAGCTACCGCGGCTCCAATCCCAACGGCAGCCACCCCAAGACCCCGTCCGCCAATGCCGGCGGAAGTGGCAGCAACCAGAAGTCTGGTGACATGGAAATGTCGTCCGGCAACGAGAGCGAGAATGGACGTACCGCGCAACTTAGTGGCAAGGCTGCTGTCCAAGAAATCCGCTCCCTTCGCAACGAGAACACTCGCTTGCTCAAGGAAGTCGAGGCCATGCGCACACAGCTGCTGCGCATGCACAACCCTCACAGTGGAAATGCCGTTTAGTTTTTGAGTTGGAGATGTGCTTTGCTTTTTTTGTTTTCGTGTCGCAATTTTTGAGTGTCGTTGTTTTGTTCATACCCTTTCGTTTTTCGATCTTTATTGTTGTTCGTTTCCGATTAAACTCGCATCTTTCGCGCCGAATCCATTTGCAGAGTTTGCTCAGTCTTATTTTTGTTTCAAGTGATCTGCAATTCGGTGAGAATTCATCACAGTAATCCTCTCTCCTTCGCCCGCCCCCCACCCCGCCCGCCAACGCTCCACCGTCTCCACTCCCACTCCCTCTCCTATTCCTTCATCTCTTCTTCCTTCTGCGTTGGGATGAGTTGTTTGCCACGAGGGGGCCGCCAAAGCGGGTTCAAATCGACCTCGCTCCACTCCCTCCTTTTGCCACCGCTCGCTTCGCTTGCACTTTTTGCGGTGGGCGCCATTCCTCCAGCCGCGCGGGACTGCGTGTCGATGGTCTTTCTGCTGCTTTATCGTACTATCACCACCTTGGTTCTTGTCGCTGCTTGGGTTCCAACAGCAATATGACTCGCTTGCTTTTTTGAATTCGCTTTCTTTTTTTTTTTTTTTCTTTTTTTTTTTCTTTTTTTTTCTTTTTTTTTTCTTTTTTTTTTTTTTTAATGCGAAAACACAAATCCGCCTCCTTTACTTTTGCTCGTTCGACATTGGCTGTGCCTCTTTTTTTTTGCGGACACCATCGCGCACTGCCTGTGCCCCATTGTCGCACCATACAATGACGCGCACACACGGCAGGGGGAGGTTGTCCTGACGTTGACTCATTGTTGACAACGAGACAATCGCCGAATCGAATGTGCCTTTCGTTTCTTGGATCGATTGAGGTTTTTTTTTTTTTTTTTTTTTGTTTGAATTTTCAGCTCCCAACGCGGTCCACTCGGCAAAAGCTCCGTGTTTCATGAACGTCACTGCTTGCCGTCGTCCTATCGCAAGGGTTTGCAACCACTCACATTGTATCTGACCACAAACCCGACGCCAAAAGCCGAACTCAAATCGAACCGTGCCGATTCGACGTTGGCCGGGCGCTCCCCTTTCTTCTTTATGATATACTCCTATTGTTTTGTTTATGTGAGGGACGTGCGGTGGTGACACATGCTCAGCCTCGGGAAGTGTGGGACTTTGCATCCTGCTTTTACTCTCAACGCAAAGAGACTTGTGGCGGAAACTGCGACCGAAAAGCGCTGCAGCTCTGGTTTTGCCCGCATTCGCTCAGATTCAAAGCAGTGGCTTTTTGATTATATTTTCTAATTATCATGTTCAGTATTACAGCACAACCAAAAGGTAGCCGTCGAACAGTGATAGAGTATTGCCAGTCACCACCCTCCTGCATCTCCCGCACGGCTTGTTCCCGTTGCGATTTCCCCATTACCGCTCGTTCGTCAATTCGCTCACAGACTGTTCTGATTGGTTTGTTGTTCGCGATGCATCATCCTATTTGCAAAACGTCAGAATTCCGCAATCTACTCAAGCCGTTCTCACCTCCCTTGCTTGCTTGCTGGAAGGATGACTTCGCCCAACCCTTCGCGAAAGCCAAAGATGAGCATCGAAGTGCCAAGTCTCGTTGTCACGCAGATGACTCCCGTTACAATGAAAGTGCCGACCTATGACGAGCTCGACGACGAGCCTGGGATGGCGCGTAATTGGGCGGTTGATCAATCGGACAAGCATGCACTCTCCGTCGATGAGCAATCGGCCAGTGATTTCTTCTTCAATCCCAACGTCTCGTCGACCGGGGCACTGGGTGTCTTGGAACTGTCTCCTGCGGCAACTCCACGCCGAAGGTCGAGCGACGCAATCAGCGACGACGTCCCAGCATCCGCGTCTGTGATGGGTGTGCCGCCGCCGTTCGCCTTGACCACCTTACACGAAGCATCCGGTGGTCTACCGCCGCACGAGCTGATCTCTGATGCGGCTGAGGCCCCGAAAGACCACCTCGCCTCTCCCATCGTGATTCGGCCGCGCGCTGCTTCCGCCTCAGGCATCCACTCCTGGGAAGCCCAGCCTGCGGCCCACTCGAGCAGTGATTTGGCCGCATCCGCTGCAGGCGGTCCCGCGAGCGTCTCCAACCATGGCGCGTCCTCATCATCCTCATCATCTCACCCACCAAAGCGTCGTCCCAAAGCGGTTACAACTCATACCTCTATCGACAGGCTGGACGTGGATCAGCCCGCGTTCACCGGGAAACGGACACTTTCGCTTGCCGAGATGCTGAGTGACGACAACGACTACGACTCTGACGAGGACGAGGAAGTCCTTGGCCCAGCGCACGATGAGCCATTCACCCCGGGTTTCAAACGACCACAAAGTCTTCCGTGTTTGCGTTTGACG